ACCACAATTACTGACCACAACCACACAACTACTGACACAACCACACAACTACTGAACAACAACTACTGACCACAAAACTACAGACCACACCTACTGACCACACAACTACTGAACCACTCAACTACTGATCACAACCATTTAACAAAACGACTGACTACAACTACTGACCTCAACCACACAAATACTGACCACAACCACACAACTTTTGACCACACAACTACTGACCACTCAACTACTGACCGCAACCACACAACTTCTGACCACAACCACACAACTGCTGACCACATCAAGTGACCACCACCACACAACTACTGACCACACTTCTAATCACCATAATGACTAACCACCACAACTACTGACCACAACCACCTGGCCACAACTACTGACCAAAATTACTGACCACAACCACACAATTACTGACCACAACCACACAACTGTTGACCACAACCACACACAACCACACAACTACTGAACAACAACTACTGACCACAAAACTACAGACCACACCTACTGACCACACAACTACTGAACCACTCAACTACTGATCACAACCATTTAACAAAACGACTGACTACAACTACTGACCTCAACCACACAAATACTGACCACAACCACACAACTTTTGACCACACAACTACTGACCACTCAACTACTGACCGCAACCACACAACTTCTGACCACAACCACACAACTGCTGACCACATCAAGTGACCACCACCACACAACTACTGACCACACTTCTAATCACCATAATGACTAACCACCACAACTACTGACCACAACCACCTGGCCACAACTACTGACCAAAATTACTGACCACAACCACACAATTACTGACCACAACCACACAACTGTTGACCACAACCACACAACTACTGAACCACAACTACTGACCACAAAGCTACTGACCACAAAACTACTGACCTAACCTACTTACCACAACCACACAACTACTGACCACACTTCTAATCACCATAATGACTAACCACCACAACTACTGACCACAACCACCTGGCCACAACTACTGACCAAAATTACTGACCACAACCACACAATTACTGACCACAACCACACAACTGTTGACCACAACCACACAACTACTGAACCACAACTACTGACCACAAAGCTACTGACCACAAAACTACTGACCTAACCTACTTACCACAACCACACAACTACTGACCACAACTACAAACCACAACCATACAACTACTGACCACACAACTACTGACCAGAACCACACAACTACTTACTCACACTACTGACCACAACTACTGGTCACAAAGACACAACTACTGACCTAACCTACTGACCACAACCACACAACTACTGACCACAACTACAAACCACAACCATACAACTACTGACCACAACTACTGAACCACACAACTACTGAACCACACAACTACTAACCACTACTACTGACCACAACTACTGACCACAACTACTGACCACTACTGACTATTGATGGGCATTTGAAATGATTTCATAATAATATAATTAAAGTACAACTTTTTTAACTACTACAAAAATCATTTTAGAGCTTTAGCAAGCCCCACAACATTACTTGTAAAGTTACAATCTTGTTGACTCAAGACATTTGAGCTTTTTGTTTTTTTATTAATTTGTAAATATTTCTAAAAACATAATTCCACTTTGACATTATGGGGTATTGTGTGTAGATATGTGACACTTTTAAGATTAATTTATTGAAACCGTAATACCAACTAGTTATTATGTTGTGGAACACAATCTTCAAAAAGGCGGTAACCTCAGCAGTGGCACTTGCTTGTAAGAAGCCTATGGCTGTGCAATGGCATAGCCTTGCTTTGTTAATTTAGCAGATAAGACCCTCTTATTTCCCGAGCCCGTATCACAGTCAAGACACCTATTTAATAGTAAAAAAACAAGATGTAATATAACAGAATAAAATAGAACAGAATATTCTTCTAAATGAAAAAAGTTGCCACTGCAAAGTGATGCGCATATCGCGTTTGGAACAGTTATTCTCAAAGAGTCGTCATTTGAAACTGGGCTCAATTTGGCGAGTTGATAGACTGTTTTCATAGTTACAAAACAAAATCTGTCTTCTTTTCGATATATACAGATGTTCGATTTAGTTTATTCTGCCTGTTCTTTGGAATTTTCAAAATGGATGAAGAATTCCACATTGAACACTGCATGGTGATGAATTACGGCCACAACATCTGGTTTGGTGAGTAGGCCTAGGCTTAATGATTCTGATAAAAAATTTGCTTTTTGTCTTTATCAAACAAATGTTTTTGTGTGTTTTCAGTGTGAAACCTGTCTATGTTTAGGGGTGTTATAGCCTAGGCTAACCAATTCTAAATGGCACTAGCAGTTCGCAAAGTAGCCTAAGCGGAAAATAGACAGGATACAATTGTTCCAAAACTGCAGATCGTTGTAGGAACACCAGTCCATTTTGAATTGGTGATAAACCTGTCGTCATTTGGCAAGGAATTTAGCTTGTGTATCCCATCAGTTAGATATTTTTTTTATAGGCATTTATTTCTGTAGGCCTAACGGGAGCTTGTGTGCGCATTCAGCGGGTATGTGTGTAGGTATTGGTCAGAAACCAATTCAGTGATTGGGACATGGAGGGGAAAGGGAAATTAGGGAGAAGAACTGTGTGATGCTTGGCTTGGTTTCTTTTTTGTTCTGCCCCGCAAATGCACATGCACAAATGGAACACTAATGTCAAAGCAAATTAACGTTGACTTCAAGACAAATTGTTGTTTTTTTTGGGACACATTTTCACTTGCCTGTTCAGGCAACCACAAAGCAGATTCCACCAATTAATTTTACAGTATTCAAAGAAAAAGATTGATCTCTGGTTAAAGGTCGAGCTTTGACGTCTGTTCGATTACTCGATTACTCATGCCCATCGCTACTTCTGTTACACTAGCACACTTATATAACATTATATAACATATAACATTTTAGAATGTTTTCTCATAATTGTTCTGAATAGCCGAGTGAATGCAGGGTTCGCACAAGGTGCTTGAGGTGCTTAAAGTACTTTAATTTGGCACTCTGAAATTCAAGTACTGGAATACCTTGGAAACCAGACATTTTCTCAAGTTGGTACTTAAAAAGTACTTGAATTAAAATGAGAGGAGAACAGAAAATTCTAAAATATGTTAATATAAAAAATATTAGAACTACCGATTTTTATTTCCTCATGTGTTTCACGCTCTGGTTGCCAGGCGAGCTCGCTCATCCCCCCCCACACTGCCACTCAGCCAGGCAGGTACAGAACTGACTGTCACATCGATAGTTAAAATGCCGGGCAAATGTAGATTCTATCCTGTCTGGCAGAATATTGATGTTTATGAATGGGTTTTGCCTGACCCAACCAGGGATGTAGTGGAGTGTAAACACCGTTTACGCACCTTTTTATTTGTGAAATAGCGTTTACTCACCCTTTTACTTTGTTAATTATATTTGTTAATGATCATTTACCCACTTATTATTGCGTTGCCTGCGTTGATCAACGCTCAGAAGGCTTCTTGATCAGAGTTCTAATCGCACATACCTCGGCAAACAAGTGAAATCATGAATGATTCATGTTTGCTCGTTATGTTCGCCTACTCCCCCGGATTTGCCTTGTTAGCAGCGCCATTCACCACTCTGTCCAACGGGAAACTCCGCCCACGACATAGGCTGAGAGGTGAAACTAACTCCCTCAGCCCAGCCCTACAGTGGCAAGTAGCAGAAAGACGCCGCTGACATTGGGAATTATTTGCACTGTCTCTATGTACTCCTGCCCTGTCAACAGACACCCCCCCCCCCCTTATGCAGGAGCAGTTGACTGAAATTAAGCTAGCTATAATCAAAAGATGGGCTACTATAAGTTCTCATAACAAAATACCTTTTCTTTATAGAGAGTAGTGAGACAGACAGTGTTGAGTCAGGCTGCAATGAAGGAGGCAAAGGAGATACACAGAGAGAGGAAGCATTGAAGCAAGCAGGGAGAGAGGTTAGTAGTACAGTGGTTCTCAAACTGGGTGTCCGGACCCATTTGGGGTCCCCTAAAATGTTAATAGTGACCCCTGAGAGAGTCTTTAATCTTATCAAACACATTAATAACTTGTTTCTCTTCAAATGGGTACATAATACAGTATTTTAGAGTCAACTAAAGGCCTTTTACACTGTCAGAATTCACTTTCACGTCATTATGTTGGGACAGCCTGTGGGACATAACATTTTGTGAAATAGGAAGAACATTTAAATAGAAAGACAATTTCATATTATTATGTACACTGAACAAAAATATAACGCAACATGCAACAATTTACAGTTCATATAAGCAATCAGTCAACATAATCAGTACTGACTTACCACTCCTGTATGTAGTAAATAAGTAGTGAGACACGTATTATTGAGTAGAACTTGTAAGGTAAGTCGCTCTGGATAAGAGCATCTGCTAAATGACATAAATGCAAAATGAATTGTAAGTTAGTTTTTTTTTTTCATGAGGTTGTGGTGATATACTGCCATCTGGTGGTGACTAGAAACAATTGCATAATAGGAACGATTACAAATGGATGGTCCTTGAAAATAAATATTAGTGCATGAAAAAAGTACTTGAAGTTGACTTGCCACTGTCTGTACGAACCCTGTGAATGAGACTTGGATGTGTGGTATGGCGATACTACATATTCTCTTACTCTGCTCCCTTTCCCTTTGGCAGCGTTTTGAGCTAAAGCCTAGGCATTAGCTTGGGGAGCTAACGCAAATCTTCAGGTCTTAGACAAGGTTACCCATACTCTGTAGAGTTCTTTAACTCTGCTCTCTCTGCGGGCTCTTTAGTCACGACGTGTTAGCTTCCCAAGCTCCAAGTTTTCAGGTCTTAGACAAGGTTACTCATCATGCAAGCATGGTTCACCAAACCACATCCGTACACTAACACATTAAGCCCACTCTGTAGAGTGTATTGTTTAACTCTGCTCTCTCTGCGGTCTCTCTGTAGTCGCGACATGGAGAGTAAGGACACCCTGCGGGGCCTGCAGAAGATTGAGGACCGCCCCGAGGAGAGGATGATCCGGGAGAAGCTCAAAGCCACCTGCATGCCCACCTGGAAGCACGAATGGCTGGAGAGACGCAGCAGGAGGGGCCCCGTGGTGAGCTGCTGCAGCTTGACACACACACACACACACACACACACACATGCCCGAGCACACCGACACACACACATGCGCAAGCACACAGACACACTCACACACACACACACACACACACACACACACTCAGGGCCGTGATCTGCCCAACAATGGCTCTCTTCCAGATCAACTCAATGCATTTTATGCACGCTTCGACAATAACAACACCATACCGTGCGTGAGGGCCCCCACAGAGCCAGAGGACTGGGTGATCTCGCTCTCCGAGGCCGACGTGAGTAAGGTCAACACTCACAAGGCCGCAGTGCCGGAAGGTATTTCAGGGTGCGTTCTCAGAGCATGCAGATCAGCTGGCAGGCATATTCACTGTAATTCACAACATATCCTTGTCCCAGTTTGTAATCCCCACGTCTTAAAATGACTACCATTGTTCCTGTTCACAAAAACTCTAAGGCTTCATGCCACAATGACTACTGCCCTGTAGCACAGATCTGTAATCATGAAGTGCTTTGAAAGGTTATGGCATCTACTCCATCATCCCAGATGACGCAATCTCAATTGCACTCCAAACTGCCCTCACCCACCTAGATAAAAGGAATACCTATGTGAGAATACTGTTCATTGACTACAGCTCAGTGTTCAACACCATTGTCCCCTCCAAGCTCGTCACCAAGCTTAGGACCCTGGGACTGAACACCGTCCTCTGCAACTGGATCCTGTACTTTCTGACGGGCTGACCCCAGGTGTTGAGGGTAGGCAACATCACCTCCACCATGTTGACCCTCAACACGGGGGCCCCACAGGGGTGTGTGCTTAGTCCCCTCCTGTACTCCCTGTTCACCCAAGACTGCGTGGCCAAGCACGACTCCAACACCATCATCAAGGTTGCTGACGACACAACGGTGGTAGGCCTGATCACTGGCGACGATGAGACAGCCTACAGGGAGGAGGTCAGTGTGGTGCCGGGACAACTACCTCTCCCTCAACGTCAGTAAGACCAAGGAGCTGATCCAAATCACTAAGGGCTTAAAATGGTCCGCTCACAGTCGTGAAGAAGGCGCGACAGCACCTCTTCCCCCTCAAGAAGTTGAAAAGGTTTGTCATGGGCCCTCAAATCCTCAAAAAGTTATACAGCGACACCATTGAGAGCATCTTGACTGGCTGCATCACTGCTTGGTATGGCAACAGCACCACCCTCGATCGAATGGCGCTACAGAGGGTGGTGTGGACAGCCCAGTACATCACTGGTGCCGACCTCCCTGCCATCCAGGACCTCTATATCAGGTGGTGTGAAAGGAAGGCCTGGAAAATTGTTAAATACTTCAGCCACTCAAGCCATAGACTGTTATCGCTGCTTTCGCACGGGAAGTGGTACCAGTGCATCAAACCTGAAACCAACAGGCTCTAACAGCTAAGACTGCTAAATAGCTAACAGAATGGCTACACCGACTATCTGAGTAGACCCTTGTATTTTTATTCTTATTTTTGCACTGTCTCTATGTACACTGACAGGACTCTACACACTCACCCACACTGATACTCCAACACACACATAACATGCACACACATTTATACTGACTACACACACGCACACACACTCACATACAGTGGGGGAAAAAAGTATTTAGTCAGCCACCAATTGTGCAAGTTCTCCAACTTAAAAAGATGAGAGAGGCCTGTAATTTTCATCATAGGTACACGTCAACTATGACAGACAAAATGAGAGAAAAAAAATCCAGAAAATCACATTGTAGGATTTGTAATGAATTTATTTGCAAATTATGGTGGAAAATAAGTATTTGGTCAATAACAAAAGTTTCTCAATACTTTGTTATATACCCTTTGTTGGCAATGACACAGGTCAAACGTTTTCTGTAAGTCTTCACAAGGTTTTCACACACTGTTGCTGGTATTTTGGCCCATTCCTCCATGCAGATCTCCTCTAGAGCAGTGATGTTTTGGGGCTGTCGCTGGGCAACACGGACTTTCAACTCCCTCCAAAGATTTTCTATGGGGTTGAGATCTGGAGACTGGCTAGGCCACTCCAGGACCTTGAAATGCTTCTTACGAAGCCACTCCTTCGTTGCCTGGGTGGTGTGTTTGGGATCATTGTCATGCTGAAAGACCCGGCCACGTTTCATCTTCAATGCCTTTGCTGATGGAAGGAGGTTTTCACTCAAAATCTCACGATACATGGCCCCATTCATTCTTTCCTTTACACGGATCAGTCGTCCTGGTCCCTTTGCAGAAAAACAGCCCCAAAGCATGATGTTTCCACCCCCATGCTTCACAGTAGGTATGGTGTTCTTTGGATGCAACTCAGCATTCTTTGTCCTCCAAACATGACGAGTTGAGTTTTTACCAAAAAGTTCTATTTTGGTTTCATCTGACCATATGACATTCTCCCAATCCTCTTCTGGATCATCCAAATGCACTCTAGCAAACTTCAGACGGGCCTGGACATGTACTGGCTTAAGCAGGGGGACACGTCTTGCACTGCAGGATTTGAGTCCCTGGCGGATTTGAGTCCCTGTGTTACTGATGGTAGGCTTTGTTACTTTGGTCCCAGCTCTCTGCAGGTCATTCACTAGGTCCCCCCGTGTGGTTCTGGGATTTTTGTTCACCGTTCTTGTGATCATTTTGACCCCACGGGGTGAGATCTTGCGTGGAGCCCCAGATCGAGGGATATTATCAGTGGTCTTGTATGTCTTCCATTTCCTAATAATTGCTCCCACAGTTGATTTCTTCAAACCAAGGTGCTTACCTATTGCAGATTCCGTCTTCCCAGCCTGGTGCAGGTCTACAATTTTGTTTCTGGTGTCCTTTGACAGCTCTTTGGTCTTGGCCATAGTGGAGTTTGGAGTGTGACTGTTTGAGGTTGTGGACAGGTGTCTTTTATACTGATAACAAGTTCAAACAGGTGCCATTAATACAGGTAACGAGTGGAGGACAGAGGAGCCTCTTAAAGAAGAAGTTACAGGTCTGTGAGAGCCAGAAATCTTGCTTGTTTGTAGGTGACCAAGTACTTATTTTCCACCATAATTTGCAAATAAATTAATAAAAAATCCTACAATGTGATTTTCTGGATTTTTTTTCCCTCCATTTGTCTGTCATAGTTGACGTGTACCTATGATGAAAATTACAGGCCTCTCTCATCTTTTTAAGTGGGAGAACTTGCACAATTGGTGGCTGACTAAATACTTTTTTCCCCCACTGTATAATTCTCTGTATCACAATTCCAGTGGGTCAGACGTTTACATACACTAAGTTGACTGTGTATTTAAACAGCTTGGAAAATTCCAGAAAATGATGTCATGGCTTTAGAAGCTTCTGATAGGCTAATTGACATAATTTGAGTCAATTGGTGGTGTACCTGTGGATTCCATTTCAAGGCCTACCTTCAAACTCAGTGCCTCTTTGCTTGATATCATGGGAAAATCAAAAGAAATCAGCCAAGACCTAAAAAAAAAATGTTGACCTCCACAAGTCTGATTCATCCTTGGGAGCAACTTCCAAACGCCTGAAGGTACCACGTTCATCTGTACAAACAATAGTACGCAAGTATAAACACCATGGGACCACGCAGCCGTCATACCGCTCAGGAAGGAGACGCGTTCTGTCTCCTAGAGATGAACGTACTTTGGCGCGAGAAGTGCAAATGAATCCCAGAACAACAGCAAAGGACCTTGTGAAGATGCTGGAGGAAACAGGTACAAAAGTATCTATATCCACAGTAAAACGAGTCCTATATCGACATAACCTGAAAGGCCGCTCAGCAAGGAAGAAGCCACTGCTCCAAAACCGCCATAAAAAAGCCAGACTACGGTTTGCAACTGTACATGGGGACAAAGATCGTACTTTTTGGAGAAATGTCCTCTGGTCTGATGAAACAAAAATAGAACTGTTTGGCCATAATGACCATCGTTATGTTTAGAGGAAAAAGGGGGTGGCTTGCAAGCCGAAAACACCATCCCAACCGTGAAGCATGGGGGTGGCAGCATCATGCTGTGGGGGTATTTTGCTGCAGGAGGGACTGGTGCACTTCACAAAATAGAAGGCATCATGAGGAAGGAAAATTATGTGGATATATTGAAGCAACATCTCAAGACATCAGTCAGGAAGTTAAATGTTGGTAGCAAATGGGTCTTCCAAATGGACAATGACCCCAAGCATACTTCCAAAGTTGCGGCAAAATGGCTTAAGGACAACAAAGTCAAGGTATTGGAGTGGCCATCACAGAGCTCTGACCTCAATCCTATAGACAATTTGTGGGCAGAACTGAAAAAGTGTGTGCGAGCAAGGAGGCCTACAAACCTAACTCAGTTACACCAGCGCTGTCAGGAGGAATGGGCCAAAATTCAGCCAACTTATTGTGGGAAGGTTACCCAAAACGTTTGACCCAAGTTAAATAATTTACAGGCAATGCTACCAAATACTAATTGAGTGTATGTAAACTTCTGACTCACTGGGAATGTGATGAATCATTCTCTCTACTATTATTCTGACATTTCACATTCTTAAAATAAAGTGGTGATCCTAACTGACCTAAAACAGGGAATTTTTACTAGGATTAAATGTCAGGAATTGTGAAAAACTGAGTTTAAATGTATTTGGCTAAGGTGTATGTAAACGTCCGACTTCAACTGTATATAAACATGTACAGTACCAGTCAAAAGTTTGAACACACCTACTCATTCAGCGGTTTTTCTTTATTTTTAATATTATTTACATTGTAGAATAATAGTGAAGACATCAAAACTATGAAATAACACATGTGGAATCATGTAGTAACCAAAAAAAGTGTTAAACAAATCAAAATATATCTTATATTTGAGATTCTTCAAATAGCCACCCTTTACCTTGATGACATCTTTGCACACTCTTGGCATTCTCTCAACCAGCTTCATGAGCTAGTGACCTGGAATGCATTTCAATTAACAGGTGTTTCTTCTTAAAAGTTAATTTGTGGGGGGGGGGGGGGGGGGGGGGTATACAGAAGATAGCCCTATTTGGTAAAATACCAAGTCCATATTATGGCAAGAACAGCTCAAATAAGCAATTAGAAACGACAGTTCATCATTACTTTAAGACATGAACGTCAGTCAATACGGAACATTTCAAGAACTTTGAAAGTTTCTTCTAGTGCAGTCGCAAAAACCATCAATCACTATGATGAAACTGGCTCTCATGAGGACACGACACGAATGGAGACCCAGAGTTAACTCTGCTGCAGAGGATAAGTTAATTAGAGTTACCAGCCTCAGAAATTGCAGCCTAAATCTATACTTCACAGAGTTCAAGTAACAGACACATCTCAACATCAACTGTTCAGAGGGAACTGTGTGAATCAGGCCTTCATGGTCGAATTGCTGCAAAGAAACCACTACTTAAGGACACCAATATGAAGAAGAGATCTGCTTGTGCCAAGAAACACGAGCAATGGACATTAGACCGGTGGAAATGTGTCCATTGGTCTCTGGTCCAAATTTGAGATTCTTGGTTCCAACCCCTTTGTCTTTTTGAGATGAACGGTGTGGGTGAACGGATGATCTCCGCATGTTTATTTCCCACCGACTTAAACAGCATGGCTACCACAGCATTCTACAGCGATACACCATCCCATCTGGTTTGGGCTTAGTGGGACTATGACCCAACACACCTCCAGGCTGTGTAAGGGCTATTTTACTAAGGAGAGTGATGGAGTGCTGCGTCAGATGACCTGGCCTCCACAATCCCCCGACCTCAACCCAATTGAGATGGTTTGGGAGGAGTCGGACTGCGGAGTGAAGGAAAAGCTGCCAACAAGTGCTCAGCATATGTGGGAACTCCTTCAGACTGTTGGAAAAAGTATTCCAGTTAAAGCTGGTTGAGAAAGGGGAGGCTATTTGAAGATTCTCAAATATTAAATATATAAAATATTTGTTAAACATTTTTTTGTTTACTACATGATTCCATATGTGTTATGTCATAGTGTTGATGTCTTCACTATTATTATACAATGTAAAAAATAGTAAAAATAACCTTGAATGAGTAGGTGTGTCCAAACTTTTGACTGGTACTGTATGTTCATATAAATATACACTCACATGCAGGAATGTTACACACATGAAGTATTCAAACAGATACACACACGAACGTCACAGAAAAACACATAGAGTACATATGTGCTTTGCTTACTGTGTCACACTCAACATTTATAGATACAAGCAACTATCAAATATTCCCTACTCTACTAAAGACTGATATGATACTGTTAATGCTTTGAATAATGATTAAGTGAAATCTAACAGATTAAGGGAATTTGACATTTTCCAACCCTGGGCATTGTACTATTACATTGCAGCCAGTCTTTCACAGCAGACACAAATGCTGACTTCTAAATTGACCTCTAGTCTAGACACTGCATTCTAGTCTAGGCACTAATCTGAGATCTGAGAGGATTAGATAGATATACACTAAGTATACAAAACAATAAGAACATTTGCTCTTTCCAATCCAGGTGAAAGCTATGATCCCTTATTAGTGTCACTTGTTAAATCTACTTCAATCAGTGTAGATGAAGGGCAGGAGACAGGTTAAAAAATGATTTTTAAGCCTTGAGGCAATTGAGACTCACCTCAATATTAGGAAGGTTTTCCTAATGTTTGGTATACTCAGTGTAAGGATTATGGTAATATAGCTACAGTGGCTTGCGAAAGTATTCACCCCCCTTGGCATTTTTCCTATTTTGTTGCCTCACAACCTTGAATTAAAATAGATTTTTGGGGGGTTTGTATCATTTGATTTACACAACATGCCTACCACTTTGAAGATGCAAAATATTTTTTGGGGTGAAACAAACAAGAAATAAGACAAAAAAACTGAAAACTTGAGCGTGCATAACTATTCACCCCCACTAATTCAATACTTTGTAGAGCCATTTTTGCACCAATTACAGCTGCAAGTCTCTTGGGGTATGTCTCTATAAGCTTGGCACATCTAGCCACTGGGATTTTTGCCCATTCTTCAAGGCAAAACTGCTCCAGCTCCTTCAAGTTGAATGGGTTCCGCTGGTGTACAGCAATCTTTAAGTCATACCACAGATTCTCAATTGGATTGAGGTCTGGCCTTTGACTAGGCCATTCCAAGACATTTAAATGTTTCCCCTTAAACCACTCGAGTTTTGCTTTAGCAGTATGCGTAGGGTCATTGTCCTGCTAGAAGGTGAACCTCCATCCCAGTCTCAAATCTCTGGAAGACTGAAACAGGTTTCCCTCAAGAATTTCCCTGTATTTAGCATCATCCATCATTCCTTCAATTCTGAACAGTTTCCCAGTCCCTGCCGATGAAAAACATCCCCACAGTATAATGCTGCCACCACCATGCTTCACTGTGGGGTTGATGTTCTCGGGGTGATGAGAGGTGTTGGGTTTGCGCCAGACATAGCGTGTTTCTTGATGGCCAAAAAGCTCAATTTTAGTCTCATCTGACCAGAGTACCTTCTTCCATATGTTTGGGGAGTCTCCCATATGCATTTTGGCGAACACCAAACGTGTTTGCTTATTTTTTTCTTCAAGCAATGGCTTTTTTCTGGCCACTCTTCCGTAAAGCCCAGCTCTGTGGAGTGTATGGCTTAAAGTGGTCCTATGGACAGAAACTCCAATATCCGCTGTGGAGCTTTGCAGCTCCTTCAGGGTTATCTTTGGTCTCTTTGTTGCCTCTCTGATTAATGCCCTCCTTGCCTGGTCCGTGAGTTTTGGTGGACGGCCCTCTCTTGGCAGGTTTGTTGTGGTGCCATATTCTTTCAAATTTTTTGTAATGGATTTAATGGTGCTCCGTGGGATGTTCATATTTTTTTTATAACCCAACCCTGATCTGTACTTCTCCACAACTTTGTCCCTGACCTGTTTGGAGAGCTCCTTGGTCTTCATGGTGCCGCTTGCTTGGTGGTGCCCCTTGCTTAGTGCTGTTGCAGACTCTGGGGCCTTTCAGAACAGGTGTATATATACTGAGATCATGTGACACTTAGATTGCACACAGGTGGACTTTATTTAACTAATTATGTGATTTCTGAAGGTAATTGGTTGCACCAGATCTTATTTAGGGACTTCATAGCAAAGGGGGTGAATACATATGCAAAGTTAATTTTTTCATTTCACTTCACCAATTTGGACGATTGTGTGTATGTCCATTACATGAAATCCAAATAAAAATCAATTTAAATTACATGCAACAAAATAGGAAAAATGCCAAGAGGGATGAATACTTTTGCAAGGCACTGTACGTCTTGCCTTCTGATTGACTGGGTGGGAATGTCACCATAATACTTCCACCTTGCCAATTCTCTAAGATCTACAGGAGTGGGTAGGCGGATTTTTCATTAAGCCACTGTAATGGGACTACTGTTATTTGGCCCCCAAACCACATACTGACTTCCCACTCCCCTCTCCCCCTCTCCCTCCTTCCCCCCTTAGGTGGTGAAGCCCGTCCCCATGCAACTGGACGGGAGCGAGGCAGGCTGCAAGGGGGCCGAGGCGGAATGCGACACGCCTACCAGCGCCTCCCCCCAGCAGAGTAGTGGCCGATGCAGCCCCTCCCCCGGACCCCCCTCTTCCTCCTCCTCTTCCTCTGGCAGGGCCTGTGGGAAGCCTGAGTCCCCAGGGGTGCACAGGAAGAGGGCCTCGCCCGTGCCAGTGAGTAGCCACACACACATACATACACTACCAGTCAAAAGTTTGGACACACCTACTCATTCAAGGGTTTTTCTTCATTTTTGCTATTTTTTACATTGTAGAATAATATTGAAGATATCAAAACTATGAAATAACACATATGGAATCATATAGTGACCAAAAAAGTGTTAAACATTCTCTCAACCAGCTTCATGAGGTAGTCACCAGGAATGCATTTTAATTAACAGGTGTGCCTTCTTAAAAGTTAATTTGTGGAATTTATTTCCTTCTTAATGCGTTTGAGCCAATCAGTTGTGTTGTGACAAGGTAGGGGGGGTATACAGATGATAGCCCTATTTGGTAAAAGACCAAGTCCATATTATGACAAGAACAGCTCTAATAAGCAAAGAGAAACGACAGTCCATCATTACTTTAAGACATGAAGGTCAGTCAATACAGAACATTTCAAGAACTTTGAAGGTTTCTTCAAGTGCAGTTGCAAAAACCATCAAGCGCTATCATGAAACTGGCTCTCATGAGGACCGCCACAGGAATTGAAGACCCAGAGTTACCTCTGCTGCAGAGGATAAGTTCATTAGAGTTACCAGCCTCAGAAATTGAAGCCCCAATTATTTTTTTGATTTCACCTTTATTTAACCAGGTAAGCCAGTTGAGAACAAGTTCTCATTTACAACTGCGACCTGGCCAAGATAAAGCAAAGCAGTGCAATAAAAACAACAACACAGAGTTACATATGGGGTAAAACAAAACATAAAGTAAAAAATACAACAGAAAATATATATACAGTGTGTGCAAATGTAGCAAGTTATGGAGGTAAGGCAATAAATAGGCCATAGTGCAAAATAATTACAATTAGTTTTAACACTGGAATGATAGATGTGCAAGAGATGATGTGCAAATAGAGATACTGGGGTGCAAATGAGCAAAATAAATAACAATATGGGGATGAGGTAGTTGGGTGGGCTAATTTCAGATGGGCTGTGTACAGGTGCAGTGATCGGTAAGGTGCTCTGACAACTGATGCTTAAAGTTAGTGAGGGAGATAAGAGTCTCCAGCTTCAGAGATTTTTGCAGTTCGTTCCAGTCATTGGCAGCAGAAAACTGGAAGGAATGGCGGCCAAAGGAGGTGTTGGCTTTGGGGATGACCAGTGAGATATACCTGCTGGAGTGCATACTACGGGTGGGTGTTGCTTTGGTGACCAATGAGCTAAGATAAGACGGGGATTTGCCTAGCAGTGATTTATAGATGGCCTGGAGCCAGTGGGTTTGGCAACAAATATGTAGTGAGGACCAGCCAACAAGAGCGTACAGGTCACAGTGGTGGGTAGTATATGGGACTTTGGTGACAAAACGGATGGCACTGTGATAGACTACATCCAATTTGCTGAGTAGAGTGTTGGATGCTATTTTGTAAATGACATCGCCGAAGTCAAGGATCGGTAGGATAGTCAGTTTTACGAGGGCATGTTTGGCAGCATGAGTGAAGGAGGCTTTGTTGCGAAATAGGAAGCCGATTCTAGATTTAACTTTGGATTGGAGATGCTTAATGTTTACAGTCTAACCAGACACCTAGGTATTTGTAGTTGTCCACATACTCTAGGTCAGACCCGTCGAGAGTAGTGATTCTAGTCGGGTGGGCGGGTGCCGGCACCGTATGATTGAAGAGCGTATGATTGAAGAGCGACATCATTGATATACACAGAGAAAAGAGTCGGCCCAAGAATTGAACCCTGTGGCACCCCCATAGAGACTGCCATAGGTCCAGACAACAGGCCCTCCGATTTGACACATTGAACTCTATCTGAGAAGTAGTTGGTGAACCAGGCGAGGCAGTCATTTGAGAAACCAAGGCTATTTAGTCTGCCAATAAGAATGCGGCGGTTGACAGAGTCGAAAGCCTTGGCCAGGTAAATGAAGACGGCTGCACAGTACTGTCTATTATCGATCGCGGTTATAATATCGTTTAGGACCTTGAGCGTGGCTGATGACCAGCTCGGAAACCGGATTGCTTAGCGGAGAAGGTACGGTGTGATTCGAAATGGTCAGTGATCTGTTTGTTAACTTGGCTTTCAAAAAACTTTCAAAAGGCAGGGCAGGATGGATATAGGTCTGTAACAGTTTGGATCTAGAGTGTCACCCCCTTCGAAGATGGGGATGACCGCGGCAGCTTTCCAATCTCTGGGGACCTCAGACGTTATGAAAGAGAGGTTGAACAGGCTAGTAATAGGGGTTGCGACAATTTCGGCGGCTAATTTTAGAAAGAAAGGGTCCAGATTGTCTTGCCCAGCTGATTTGTAGAGGTCCAGATTTTTCAGCTCTTTCAGAACATCAGCTGTCGGAATTTGTGTGAAGGAGAAGCGGGAGGGGAGGGGCATGGGCAAGTTGCAGCGGAGGGTGCAGAGCTGGTGGCGGGGGTAGTGGTAGCCAGGTGGAAAGCATGGCCAGCCGTAGCAAAATGCTTGGTGAAATTCTCGATTATTGTAGATTTATCGGTGGTGATAGTGTTTCCTAGCCTCAGTGCAGTGGGCAGCTGGGAGGAGGTGCTCTTATTCTCCATGGACTTTACAGTGTCCCAAAACTTTTTGGAGTTAGTGCTACAAGGATGCACATTTCAGTTTGAAAAAGCTAGCCTTTGCTTTCCTAACTGCTTGTGTATATTGGTTCCTAACTTCCCTGTAGAGTTGCATATCGTAGGGGTTATTCGATGCTAATGCAGTACGCCACAGGATGTTTTTGTGCTGGTCAAGGGCAGTCAAATCTGTTCTTAGTTCTGAATTTTTTTAATGGGGCATGCTTATTTAAGATTGAGAGGAAAGCACTTTTAAAGAACAACCAGGCATCCTCTACTGACGGAATGAGATCGATATCCATCCAGGATAACTGGGCCAGATCAATTAGGAAGGCCTGCTCGCTAAAGTGTTTTAGGGAGCGTTTGACATTGATGAGGGGTGGTCGTTTGACCGCGGACCCGTTATGGATGCAGGCAATAAGGCAGTGATCGCTGAGGCCCTGGTTGAAGACAGCGGAGGTGTATTTAGAGGGTGCCCATGTTTACGGATTTAGGGTTGTACCTGGTAGGTTCCTTGATAATTTGGATTGTAGGATGGCCGGGGTGTTAAGCATATCCCAGTTTCGGTCACCAAGCAGTACGAACTCTGAGGATAGATTTACATGTACATTTTAGTCATTTAGCAGACGCTCTTATCCAGAGCGACTTACAGTTAGTGCATACTTTTTTTTTTTTTTTTTCATACCCCCTGTGGGAATCGAACCCACAACCCTGGCGTTGCAAATATAAGATATATTTAGATTTGTTTAACACTTTTTGGTTACTAAATTTTTCCAAATGTGTTATTTCATAGTTTTGATGTCTTCACTGTTATTCTACAATGTAGAAAATAGTCAAAATAAAGAAAAACCCTGGAATGAGCAGGTGTGTCCAAACTTTGCACTGGTACTGTACATAGCATGCACACACACACACACACACACACACACACACACACACACACACACACACATATATGAGAACGTCAGCTACGTGTTTAAGCGTACTTCATAGTATTTGAGAATACATAAACATATAGTTTCAAAGTGTATTCGCCACGTGCACAGGATAGAACAGGTGTAAAACAGTACAGTGAAATTCTTACCTTGACTTCAGAGCTCTTTCCCAAGAATGCAGTGATAATAATAATAATAATATAACGATGAACTACGATGTGAGTTAATGAAACACGAGAATGCAAGACATTTGATAATAATATACCATTGATTGGATATTAATCCTCTTCACTTTGGGTTTGAAGAACTGTTAAGTCCTAAGTGACTATTTATTAGACAATAAAGCAAACCCATATAACTATGAATGGGAGAGGATTAAGACTAGTTTTTGTCTGAGGCTGTCTTGATCTAATGTTGATGTAATTTTGTTGTTGTGTAGTTTCAGAGTGGCAGGGTGACGCCCCCTCGCCGGGTGCCCTCCCCAGACGGTTTCTCCCCCTACAGTCCCGAGGAGACCAGTCGCCGTGTCAACAAGGTCATGAGAGCACGCCTCTACCTACTGCAGCAGATAGGCCCCAACTCCTTCCTGATTGGAGGAGACAGCCCTGACAACAAATACAGAGTGTTCATTGGCCCACAGGTAAGAAGTGCTCGCTGTCCACTCAGACCAATGAAAAAAGATTAGACAGAATTAAAAGACTCACGCTCAATTTCAAATCGACTCCCTCTACCCTCTAGGTAATTACAATTATTGGATAGGTGTTATCAATATTACAGAATTTCCACCTAGCCTATCAGAAGGAAGGTCACCATATTGCCTATTATACTTATACAGTCCTTTCAAATGTATACGTAGCTAGACTTGGGGTTGATTTGGAATTTGGCGTTTTGTGTCAGTTTGATTTAGCTGATGCAAGTTTGCGAGATTCCAACTGTCTGGCTAGATTGAGGCTAGGCTGCAACAAGGACCCCAGCTTTTACCAAATTGCATTTACAGCAATAGATTTGAGTTTTAAAGGGATACTTGGACTTTGGCAATGAAGCCCTTTATCTACTTCCACAGAGTCCGATGAACTCATGGATACCATTTTTATGTCTCTGCATCCAGTATGAAGGAAGTTAAGAGGTAGCTTCGCGCGCCAATGCTAACTAGCGTTAGCGCAATGACTAGACATCTATGGTATCTACTAGCATGCTGACAGTTACCATAGACTTCCAGTCATTGCGCTAACATCAGTTAGCAATTGCGCTAACGCTAGTTAGCAACTTCCTTCAAACTGCTGGCAGAGACATAAAAAAATATATCCATGAGTTCCTCTTACTCTGGGGAAGTAGATAAAGAGCTTCATTGCCAAAATCCTGAAGTATCCCTTTAAGAATTTACTTCACTTGTACATTGGCCAGCTTGTTTTGTTTACCCAGCCATTTGCTACTATAGAGCTGGATTGATGTAGAGCTCCATTGCCTCTTACTAACGCAGTGCTAGCTGTGCCACTAGAGATCCTGGTTCGAATCCAGGCTCTGTCGTAGCCGGCCGTGACCGGGAGACCCATGGGGCGGCGCACAATTGGCCCAGCGTCGTCCAGGGTAGGGGAGGGAATGGCCGGCAGGGATGTAGCTCAGTTGGTAGAGCATGGCATTTGCAACGCCAGGGTTGTGGGTTCGATTCCCACGGGGGGCCAGTATGAAAAATATAATGTATGCACTCACTAACTGTAAGTCGCTCTGGATAAGAGCGTCTGCTAAATGACTAAAATGTAAATGTAAATGTAAAGGTCTAAGTCCCAAATGGCACCCTGCTTCCAATATAGTGCACTATTTTTGTCAAAAGTAGTGCACTATATGGGGACTATGGTGCCATTTGGAATGCACCCAATGATTATTAATCTCTGTATATGAAATTGGGCTCTCCTGAGTGACTTGTGTGTCTGTTTGGCAATTTATGACCTCGTGCATGTGCATGTGACCATAATGGAGTGTGTGTGTATCTGTGTCTGACCATTTATGACCGTGTGTGTATGCACGTGTGTACAGTGGGGGAAAAAAGTATTTAGTCAGCCACCAATTGTGCAAGTTCTCCCACTTAAAAAGATGAGAGAGGCCTGTAATTTTCATCATAGGTACACGTCAACTATGACAGACAAATGGAGGGGAAAAAAATCCAGAAAATCACATTGTAGGATTTTTTATTAATTTATTTGCAAATTATGGTGGAAAATAAGTACTGTACCTGTCCACAACCTCAAACAGTCACACTCCAAACTCCACTATGGCCAAGACCAAAGAGCTGTCAAAGGACACCAGAAACAACATTGTAGACCTGCACCAGGCTGGGAAGACTGAATCTGCAATAGGTAAGCAGCTTGGTTTGAAGAAATCAACTGTGGGAGCAATTATTAGGAAATGGAAGACATACAAGACCACTGATAATATCCCTCGATCTGGGGCTCCACGCAAGATCTCACCCCGTGGGGTCGAAATGATCACAAGAACGGTGAGCAAAAATCCCAGAACCACACGGGGGGACCTAGTGAATGACCTGCAGAGAGCTGGGACCAAAGTAACAAAGCCTACCATCAGTAACAGGGAATCAAATCCTGCAGTGCCACACGTGTCCCCCTGCTTAAGCCAGTACATGTCCAGGCCCGTCTGAAGTTTGCTAGAGTGCATTTGGATGATCCAGAAGAGGATTGGGAGAATGTCATATGGTCAGATGAAACCAAAATAGAACTTTTTGGTAAAAACTCAACTCGTCGTGTTTGGAGGACAAAGAATGCTGAGTTGCATCCAAAGAACACCATACCTACTGTGAAGCATGGGGGTGGAAACATCATGCTTTGGGGCTGTTTTTCTGCAAAGGGACCAGGACGACTGATCCGTGTAAAGGAAAGAATGAATGGGGCCATGTATCGTGAGATTTTGAGTGAAAACCTCCTTCCATCAGCAAGGGCATTGAAGATGAAACGTGGCTGGGTCTTTCAGCATGACAATGATCCCAAACACACCGCCCGGGCAACGAAGGAGTGGCTTCGTAAGAAGCATTTCAAGGTCCTGGAGTGGCCTAGCCAGTCTCCAGATCTCAACCCCATAGAAAATCTTTGGAGGGAGTTGAAAGTCCGTGTTGCCCAGCGACAGCCCCAAAACATTATTGCTCTAGAGGAGATCTGCATGGAGGAATGGGCCAAAATGCCAGCAACAGTGTGTGAAAACCTTGTGAAGACTTACTGAAAACGTTTGACCTGTGTCATTGTCAACAAAGGGTATATAACAAAGTATTGAGAAACTTTTGTTATTGACCAAATACTTATTTTCCACCATAATTTGCAAATAAATTCATAAAAAGTCCTACAATGTGATTTTCTGGAATTGTTTTTCTCATTTTGTCTGTCATAGTTGAGTTGTACCTATGATGAACATTACAGGCCTCTCTCATCTTTTTAAGTGGGAGAACTTGCACAATTGGTGGCTTACTAAATACTTTTTTTCCCCCACTGTATGTGACCACTGTATGTATATACATACACATTCGTGAGTAACCCCCGGTCTGCGTTCATCCTCCCCTCTCTCTGTAGACCTGTAGCTGTGGCCGAGGGGCATTTTGTATCCACATCCTCTTCGTCATGCTCCGAGTCTTCCAGCTGGAGCCCTCAGACCCCTTGCTCTGGAGGAAAACCCTCAAAAACTTTGAGGTAACCTTCCAGTAACCTACCGATGTGCCCACTAACCAATCTGTATAATTCCCCTTTCTCACTACTGAGCTGTATAGTGCTGGCCTGGTTATGGATCCACCATAGTGCTGGAACTGTGCTAGACAGGACAATGTGGTAAGGCAATATCCGTGCCAGCACAGTATGGTTCGGGTCAGCACAATAGTGTGAAAGGGTGAACATGATTTGTTGAACCCATTGTTTGTAATGACCAATTTTCAAAAAACTTCAGAGCTAGAGTACATTGAGGGGAAAAAAGTATTTGATCCCCTGCTGATTTTGTACGTTTTCCCACTGACAAAGACGTGATCAATCTATAATTTGAATGGTAGGTTTATTTGAACAGTGAGAGACAGAATAACAACAAAAAAATCCACTAAAACGCATGTCAAAAATTTTATCAATTGATTTGCATTTTAATGAGGGAAATAAGTATTTGACCTCTCTGTAAAGCATTCCTCCTCCTCCAAACACGGCGAGTCGAGTTGATGCCAAAGAGCTCGATTTTGGTCTCATCTGACCACAACACTTTCACCCAGTTCTCCTCTGAATCATTCAGATGTTCATTGGCAAACTTCAGACGGGCCTGCGGGCGCTGCAGGATTTCAGTCCTTCACGGCGTAGTGTGTTACCAATTGTTTTCTTGGTGACTATGGTCCCAGCTGCCTTGAGATCATTGACAAGATCCTCCTGTGTAGTTCTGGGCTGATTCCAGGCCGAGGGAGATTGACAGTCTTTTGTGTTTCTTCCATTTGCGAATAATCGCACCAAATGTTGTCACCTTCTTACCAAGCTGCTTGGCGATGGTCTCGTAGCCCATTCCAGCCTTGTGTAGGTCTACAATCTTGTCCCTGACATCCTTGGAGAGCTCTTTGGTCTTGGCCATGGTGGAGAGTTTGGAATCTGATTGATTGATTGCTTCTGTAGACAGGTGTCTTTTATACCGGTAACAAACTGAGACTAGGAGCACTCCCTTTAAGAGTGTGCTCCTAATCTCAGCTCGTTACCTGTATAAAAGACACCTGGGAGCCAGAAATCTTTCTGATTGAGAGGGGGTCAAATACTTATTTCCCTCATTAAAATGCAAATCAATTTATAACATTTTTGACATGTGCTTTTTCTGGATTTCTTTGTTGTTATTCTGTCTCTCACTGTTCAAATAACCCTACCATTAAAATGATAGAGTGATTATTTATTTGTCAGTGGGCAAATTTACAAAATCAGCAGGGGATCAAATACTTTTTTCCCTCACTGTATGTCAATTTTAGAATATTTACATTTACATTGAGGATAACTTTCAGTGACTTGCAATGTCTTGAATGCACTTTAGATATATACGTAGATACTTCATGATGGTTAAGGTTGACCTCTATGACTAACTGGTTCCGGGGTGAAGTTTCCCCTAGGTACAGATCTACGATCAGCTTCCTCTGCCCCAATCCCAGCCTTAATCATAAGTGGGGAAAATGCTAAACTGACCCAAGATCCGCGTCTAACTGTGTCATTTTCTCTACGTCATCCAGGTGGAGAGCTTGTTCCAGAAGTACCACAATCGCCGCAGTTCACGCATTAAGGCGCCATCGCGCAACACCATCCAGAAGTTTGTGTCGCGCATGTCTAACCCCCACACGTCCTGTCCATCCAGCACCTCCGGCACCTCCAGCAACGAGAGCAGGTAGAATAGACACACGCACACACGCATGCACATGAACAGTCAAATCGCACACAATGCACACAGATACATACACCAGGTACAGATGTTGTACTGTAAAATGTATTTTACCAGAAGGCCCTTGAATACGTCCAAGTTGTATTTTGATACAAGTTTTGATAGATGTTTTAGATTTTTACATTAAAAGTCTTTGGAGAGAAAATGTGTCTAATTTGTGTCTAATTTAGCCAGTATCTGTATCTTTCCTCTCTTTTACCGTCTCTCTGTCTCTTAATCTTTCTCTCCCATCTCTCTCTCTCTCTCTCTCTGTCCCAATCTCCCATGTCTTTCTTCATCCCTCTTTCTTTCCCTTTATCGATTTCTCTCTCTCTCTATCCATCTTTCCCTCTCTCCCCCCTCTCTGTCAGTAGTCTGAAGGATGAGGAGGAGCAGATGTGTCCTATCTGTCTGTTGGACATGCTGGACGAGGAGAGTCTGACTGTGTGTGAGGAGGGCTGCAGGAACAAGCTGCACCACCACTGCATGTCCATCTGTGAGTACAACTGTACATTATCAAAAACAGTGGAAGCTGGTGACTTGACAAATTGAGGAGGATGGGAGACCCACGGTATAGGCGCGGAACGCACAGAGACGACAAAGTGTGTTTCAAATGATTTTAACCTAAAACATTTAATAAAGACATTTATAGTCAGATATTATGGGGTGTTTGAATGAGAGGGCTACTTACAGGGTTGAGAAGGGATCACAGCAGTGATTAAATGAGGGTATGAGGCATGAGTTGGGGTTTTTAGAGGCTTGACTTCAGTGCAGAGGCTTGACTTCAGTGCAGGACAGGGGTTGAGGTGTTCAGAGGCTTCAATGCAGGACAGGTTCATCATGGAGGGATGGTGTTGGAGAAGAGCTCTTCCTCTTCCACTGAGAGCAGGACAGGAGTTGACTGGAGAAACAAAAAACAACAACACAACACAGTTAAACAGAATAGCTAAGAATGAGTTAGTCCAAACAAGGAGTGAAATCATTGATGTGTATGTGTAATAATTAGATTGTGTTAGTTGCTGGTCTACTATGGTATTTATCCAAACAAGAGATGGCTACTTACACAGTGTTGGGAAGGGATCACAGCAGTGATTGAATGAGGGGATGAGGCATGAGTTGAGGTGTTCAGAGGCTTTTGACTTCAGTGCAGGACAGGGGTTGAGGTATTCAGAGGCTTCAGTGCAGGACAGGCTCATTATGGATGGATGGTGTTGGAAAAGAGCTCAACTCTTCCACTGAGGGCATGACCGGATTTGACTGAGAAGGCAAAAAACAATAACACAACACAGCTAGACAAAATAGCTAATAATGAGTTAGTCCAAGTGAGGATTAAAATCACATTGATTTGTAATAATGTGATTGTGTTTGTGTATGTGATTGACTACATACAGTAATGAGAGAAAATTGACAGGGCCACTCACAGTGCTTGGAGAGGAAACATTCAATGCGCCAGTGGATGAGAGGGCACATGAGACATGGCTTCAGTTTTTTAAAACATTTTAGTCATTTTAGCAGACGCTCTTATCCAGAGCGACTTACAGTTAGTGTGTGCATACATTTTCATACTGGCCCCCCGTGGGAAATGAACCCACAACCCTGGCGTTGCAAGCGCCATGCGCTACCAACTGAGCTACAGGGGGCCTGTTCATATCAAAGAGTTGACACTGATATTTGAGTGTAGTGGTCATCCCCTCTTAACCCTTTGACACGTACCAACAAATGGGTGTGATCATTCTATAGTGGTCCCTGCAGCGTACACTCAAACCGGTGTGATTAGGACGCTTATTTAGAATGTCCAGTTTCGATTGACGCAACAGTCAGCGTTTGAGCTGGCTACACTGTTTTTTCACAGAAACATCTTGCACAAACACAGTCCTTACAAAGTTATGTCCTGAATGTGACCAGTTTATTTTTGGATGCAATGTTCAGACATTCACAGAAGTAGCGACAGCATAACAAAGGTCATCCAAACCGGAAAATGTAGGCTACATTAGTCCTAGCGCTAACTGAGGAAAGATTGGCGTAACACAAGCGGTCATATTTAGCTAACTCTCGGCTGACAGAAACCACAATATGAATTAGCTAATAGCAATTATTATTTACAATTCATCACATCACGGGTGAGCTCACAATTACATTTACATTTACGTCATTTAGCAGACGCTCTTATCCAGAGTGACTTACAAATTGGTGCATTCACCTTATGATAGCCAGTGGGACAAGCACTTTACAATTTATTTAAATGTTTTAATTAAATGTTTAATTATTATTTTATATATTTTGTGGGGGTGGGGTGGGGGGGGGGGGGGGGGGGGGTAGAAGGATTACTTTTATACTATCCCAGGTATTATTTAAAGAGGTAGGGTTTCAAGTGTCTCCGGAAGGTGGTCAGTGACTCCGCTGTCCTGGCGTCGTGAGGGAGCTTGTTCCACCATTGGGGTGCCAGAGCAGCGAACAGTTTTGACTGGGCTGACTGGGCTGAGCGGGAACTGTGATCGAAACAATTGATCGAAATAATTGAGTAAAACACTTTCTAAGTAATCCGAGGATGGGTAGTTTGTGCGCCCCACTATGTTTGTTTTTTCACGTCAACCAAAGATAATAAGAGGAGACAAGATGAGTTTGGTCTGTTTGCAGGATGCATGTTGAAGGGGGTGTGTCATCTACAATCATTCACTTCCCTTCATTCACTTCCGGAAGTTTACTCGAAACATGAGTGAAACATTCCTTCACCTCATTATAACATCTTTGGTTTGACAGACGTTTACGTGACACCCAGAATGCATTGTATAATGTCAACAAACATGGCGCCACACATAGCTGGCAAATAGCTTAGCATTAGCTCATCATAATCAGTGCAACCTTCAAAAAAGTATTTTACACACATAGGTGTCCATTACAATCCCTGCAATAATCGGAATGCATTATTTCAAATGAAATAAAATAAAATGGTATTTGCGACATGCGCCGAATACAACAGTGAAATGCTTACTTACAAGCCCTTAACCAACAATGCAGTTTAAGAAAAATAAGTGTTAAGTAGAAAATAGATTAATAAAAAATAAAAATAATTAAAGAGCAGCAGTAAAATAAAATAACAGTAGCGAGGCTATATACAGGGGGTACCGGTACAGAGTCAATGTGCGGGGGCACATGTTAGTCGATGTAATTGAGGTAATATGTACATGTGGGTAGAGTTAAAGTGGCTATGCATAGATAATGGTCCTCTGTAGCTCAATTGGTAGAGCGTGGCGCTTGTAACGCCAGGGTAGTGGGTTCGATCCCCGGGACCACCCATACGTAAAAATGTATGCACAAATGACTGTAAGTGGCATTGGATAAAAGTGTCTGCTAAATGGCATATTATATTATTATTATAATATACAGAGAGTAGCAGCAGCGTAAAAGAGGGGGTGGGGTGGGGGGACAATGCAAATAGTCAGGGTAGCCATGATTAGCTGTTAAGGAGTCTTATGGCTTGGGAGTAGAATCTGTTAAGAAGCCTTTTGGACCTAGACGGCACTCCGTTACCGCTTGCCGTGCGGTAGCAGAGAGAACAGTCTATGACTAGGGTGGCTGGAGTCTTTGACAATTTTGAGGGCCTTCCTCTGACACCGCCTGGTATAGCGGTCCTGGATGGCAGGAAGCTTGGCCCCAGTGATGTACTGGGCCGTACGCACTACCCTCTGTAGTGCCTTGCGGTCAGAGGCTGAGCAGTTGCCATACCAGGCAGTGATGTAACCAGTCAGGATGCTCTCGATGGTGCAGCTGTATAACTTTTTGAGGATCTGAGGACCCATGCCAAATCTTTTCAGCCTCCTGAGGGTGAATAGGCTTTGTCCTGCCCTCTTCACAACTGTCTTGGTGTGTTTGGACCATGATAGTTTGATGGTGATGTGGACACCAATGAACTTGAAGCACTCAACCTGTTCCACTAAAGCCCCGTCGATGAGAATGGGGGCATGCTCAGACCTCTTTTCTGTCCTGTAGTCCACAATCATCTCCTTTTTCTTGATCACGTTGAGGGAGAGGTTGTTATCCTGGCACCACATGGCCAGGTCTCTGACCTCCTCAATTATAGGCTGTCTCATCGTTGTCGGTGATCAGGCTTACCGCTGTTGTGTCATCGGCAAACTTAATGACGGTGTTGGAGTCGTGCCTGGCCATGCAGCCATGAGTGAACAGGGAGTACAGGAGGGAACTGAGCACACACCCCTGAGGGGCCCCCGTGTTGAGTATCAGCGTGGCCGATGTGTTGTTACCTACCCTTACCACCTGGGGGCGGCCCGTCAGGAAGTCCAGGATCCAGTTGCAGAGGGAGGTGTTTCGTCCAGGGTCCTTAGCTTAGTGATGAGTTTTGAGGGCATTATGGTGTTGAACGCTGAGCTGTAGTCAATGAATAGCATTCTCACGTAGGTGTTCCTCTTGTCCAGGTGGGAAAGGGCAGTGTGGAGTGCAATAGAGATTGCATCATCTGTGGATCTGTTGGGGTGGTATGCAAATTGGAGTGGGTCTAGGGTTTCTGGGATAATGGTATTGATGTGAGCCATGACCAGCCTTTCAAAGCACTTCATGGCTACAGACGTGAGTGCTATGGGTCGGTAGTCATTTAGGCAGGTTATCTTAGTTTTCTTGGGCACAGGGACTATGGTGGTCTGCTTGAAACATGTAGGTATTACAGACTCAGTCAGGGACATGATGAAAATGTCAGTGAAGGCACTTGCCATTTGGTCAGCGCATGCTCGGTGTACGCGTCCTGGTAATCCGTCTGGCCCTGCGGCCTTGTGAATGTTGACTTGCTTAAAAGTCTTACTCACATCGGCTACGGAGAGCGTGATCACATAGTCATCCAGAACAGCTGATGCTCTTATGCATGCTTCAGTGTTGCTTGCCTCGAAGCGAGCATAGAAGTGATTTAGCTCGTCTGGTAGGCTCGTGTCACTGGGCAGCTCGCGGCTGTGCTTCCCTTTGTAGTCTGTAATAGTTTGCAAGCCCTGCCACATCCGACGAGCGTCAGAGACGGTGTAGTACGATTCAATCTTAGTCCTGTATTGACTCTTTGATGGTTCGTCTGAGGGCATAGCTGGATTTCTTATAAGCGTCCGGGTTAGAGTCCCGTTCCTTGAAAGCGGCAGCTCTACCCTTTAGCTCAGTGAGGACGTTGCCTGTAATCCATGGCTTCTGGTTGGGGTATGTACGTACGGTCACTGTGGGGACGACGTCATCGATGCACTTATTGATGTGACTGATGTTGTGTACTCCTCAATGCCATCGGAAGAATCCCGGAACATATTATAGTCTGTGCTAGCAAAACAGTCCTGTAGCTTAGCATCATACATAAATACAGTGGGGAGAACAAGTATTTGATACACTGCCGATTTTGCAGGTTTTCCTACTTACAAAGCATGTAGAGGTCTGTAATTTTTATCATAGGTACACTTCAACTGTGAGAGATGGAATCTAAAACAAAAATCCAGAAAATCACATTGTATGATTTTTAAGTAATTCATTTTGCATGACATAAGTATTTGATACATCAGAAAAGCAGAACTTAATATTTGGTACAGAAACCTTTGTTTGCAATTACAGAGATCATACATTTCCTGTAGGTCTTGACCAGGTTTGCACACACTGCAGCAGGGATTTTGGCCCACTCCTCCATACAGACCTTCTCCAGATCCTTCAGGTTTCGGGGCTGTCGCTGGGCAATACGGACTTTCAGCTCCCTCCAAAGATTTTCTATTGGGTTCAGGTCTGGAGACTGGCCCCTGTATTGTCTTCGCTGAGTGCTTAGGGTCGTTGTCCTGTTGGAAGGTGAATCTTCACCCCAGTCTGAGGTCCTGAGCGCTCTGGAGCAGGTTTTCATCAAGGATCTCTCTGTCCATCTTTCTCTCGATCCTGACTAGTCTCCCAGTCCCTGACGCTGAAAAACATCCCCAAAGCATGATGCTACCACCACCATGGTTCACCATAGGGGTGGTGCCAGGTTTCCTCCAGACGTGACTTTTGGCGTTCAGGCCAAAGACTTCAATGTTGGTTTCATCAGACCAAAGAATCTTGTTTCTCAATACCCCATCATTAAAAATAAAAAACTGGTGGCATTATCATGCTGTGGGGATGTTTTTCAACAGCAGGGACTGGGATACTAGTCAGGACAATGACCCTAAGCACACAGCCGATACAACGCAATAGTGGCTCCAGGACAAGTCTCTGAATGTCTTTGAGTGGCCCAACCAGAGCCTGGACTTGAACCCGATCGAACATCTTTGGAGCGACCTGAAAATAGCTGTGCAGCGACGCTCCCCATCCAACCTGACAGAGCTTGAGAGGATCTGCAGAGAAGAATGGGAGAAACTCCCCAAATGCTTGTAGCGTCATACCCAAGAAGACTCGAGGCAGTAATCGTTGTCAATGGTTCTTCAACAAAGTACTGAGTAAAGGCTCTGAATACTTATGTAAATGTTATATTAACGTTTTTTTTTCTAAAAACTTGTGTTTGCTTTGTCATTATGGGTATTGTGTATAGATTGATAATTGGAAAAAAACAGTTTAATCCATTTTAGAATAAGGCTGTAACGTAACAAAATGTGGAAAAAGTCAAGGGGTCTGAATACTTTCCCAATGCACTGTACATATGCTACAGTAGAAACGACAACACGATATACAGAAAATAAGGCACTTACTTTGATAGGAACGCACACATGTCCGAAGTTATTATTTGTAAGTAAAACAAATGTCTGCATACTTGATCTGTGGTAATAGTGGGGAAGTGCTTGGGCTCTCCTCGAGAGAAGTTTGTCCGGCTTAGTAAAGCCTCAAACATAAATTGTCCGCAACAGTGAAATGGGCTACTTCTATGTGAATTAATGAGGAGGCGGAACACACCTCAATTCAAACTGTTGTTAGAAAATAATAATAATAATTAGAAATTGACTATTTATTATTCAAATAATTAGAAATTGACTATTTGAAACATAGCCTATAGTTAATTAGCAGGCAGTGCGGGTTAACTGTCCTGTTGCGTAACAATCACATTTTGGAACAGTGAGTGCATTCTGACATCACGTGCATAAAACAACTCACACTGGCGCGACCGCTAGAGATATATGGAACTCACGCGTGAAAAGGTTAATCAGGGAACAGGACAGGACTTAGCTGCAAATACAAATAGCAGATACATTCCATTACAGAAGCGCCATCAAAGGTTTGGGCAACAAGTTTCTCTATGAAGTTAATCTCAGACATCCCAGAATTCACAAAGTCAAACACAGACTGCACATCTCGCCCACTTGACACATCAAAGTAGGTTTCATTCTTTTGCCCTGCATCAACCTCTCTTTTAATCTCACTTTTAATGAATGATGCGGTGGAAGCTATCAAATCATTCTGAATTGATTTCGATATCCCAGAGAAGACAGTAGAAACTTCCTTATGCTCAGCAAGTAAAGCACTGTATCGTGCAATTACCTCTGCAAGCTCCTTGTAGTTTCCCTTGTTTCCCTAGATCTTTCCCTCTCATTGTGCCCCTGATAGGTCCGATTTGATAGCAAGGGGTTAACCTCTGAACGTTATTTCTACTATACAGTCCACGAGAGGGTTGGATGGATATAAGTGGCGGGCGTTCGAGCTTTGGTGCCAAAATAAAGGAATTGTTCATTTTCAGAGCTCTCGAGCAGGGCCGTTCATTCTCCACCTTGAAGGTGTATATGGCAGCTATTTCAGCGTGTCATGTGGGAATTGATGATGCCACTCCAGGGGCTCATCCTCTGGCGTGCGGTTTTTAAAAGGTGTGTGACCTGTTTCTAAACCTATCGTGCCCACTTGGGATTTGGCTTTGGTTTTGGATGGGCTGTGTGAGGCCCCCTTTGAACCGATGTAGTCTGTGGATCTGAAGATCCTCTCCTACAAGACCGCTGTGCTCGTGGCTTTGGCCTCTGCTAAACACATTGGAGATCTCCACGCGTTATCCTTTCACCCCTCCTGTATGAAGTTCAACCTTGGGGACTCTAAGATGTTGTGCGTCCTAATGCAACCTTCGCCCCTAAGGTCATGATTATGTCCTACAGGTCTCTAGCTTTTGAGCTTTTTCCCTTTTTGCCTCCGCTGTTTGCTTCTGAGTAGCAGCGGTTACATGCCCTCTGTCCGGTACGAGCGTTACACATGTACATTGAGCGGACCAGGGGTGTATGTTTGTGTGACAAACTTTTTGTCTGTTTTGCTAATCCAGCTCGTCGTGGAGTGCTTTCCAAGCAGCGTCTCTCCCACTGGATTGTGGAGGCTATTGCTCTGGCATATGACAGCAGAAGGCAGGAATTACCTAACGTTGTACGCGCCCACTCCACCAGGGGTCTGGCGGCGTCTTACATTTACATTTTAGTCATTTAGCAGACGCTCTTATCCAGAGCGACTTACAGTTAGTGAGTGCATACATCATAAAAACATTTTTTATACTGGCCCCCCGTGGGAATCGAACCCACAACCCTGGCGTTGCAAACGCCATGCTCTACCAACTGAGCTACATCCCTGCCGGCCATTCCCTCCCCTACCCTGGACGACGCTGGGCCAATTGTGCGCCGCCCCATGGGTCTCCCGGTCGCGGCTGGCTACGACAGAGCCTGGGCGTTGTTTAAAGGGTTACCTATAGGAGATATTTGTTCTGCGGCGAGTTGGGCATCACCACACACTTTTGTGAGGTTTTATCGCTTGGATGTCACTGCCCCCAGTGTAGCACACAGTGTGCTTACGGCTGGGGCAGGAGTGGGACATTAGACAGCATGCAGATTGCGCAATACCTGGGTGCCGCAGGTTTTCCTGTCGGGTTGGAACTCTTGGTGGTCTGCCGTAGGCCATTTCATTCAGTGTCCGCTGGGGTCGGCTTGGGGCGTGATTTCATATCCCCATAGCTGTGTTGTACCGAGTTGACTGACTGAAAGCTGAACGTACAGTTATGACTATAACTACTGTTCACTGAAGTAGGGAAACGAGGTACAACACCTGTTTCGGCCCCACGCCGCCCAGTTCTGGGCATGGTGAAGAGCGGTACTGATTTGAAGGAATTAATATGTGCCTCGGGTTTATCATCTGTGGAAGGCGGGGCTTCCAGTGAGACACGGTGTTCATTGGCCTTGTCAGGTATGATTCTAATGTCCTTCAGTAGAGGGCACTAGCGTGCAAACTCCCCATACCTGTGTTGATACCTCGTATCCCTCCTTCAGGTTAAACAGTGCCTAGGGCGTTCACCTTACACACACACATATGCAATGCACCACTCCAGTTACTCCTGTCCCATTTCTCCCTACACACACACACACAGCCAACGCTATATAGCCCCCTCGATAGAAGTCTGATATGTTCGTGCCAAGGCCCTGGCCCTTCTCTTCTCTCTATAAACTCCAGTCTAATTGCTGCTCCATTTTATCGGAGCCTTGACTTCCTTGACAGCCAGTCGTTGCATTGTCTCCTATCTAAACTGGGGGTATAGCTAATTCTGTCTGTCTCTCTGTCTGTCACTCTGTCCGTCTCTGTCTGTCTGTGTCTGTCTGTCTCGCAGGGGCTGAGGAATGCCGGCGGAACCACGAGACGCTCATTTGCCCCCTCTGTAGAGCCAAGTGGAAGTCCCATGATTTTTACAGGTAATTTTAACTAGGATCTAGGAACTCCTGGAAATACTCCTGGAATGGGGGGTGGATTCGGCAGCCCACCAGCTGGTATCTGGTATTGTTGTGTGAAAGACGGGGGAAGCGGCTTCACTATGTTTGTGTCTGGGAGGAAAGGAAACACCTGCCTCAGTCTGAGACGACAGAACAGCTGTGCAGTTTTGCAAATCTCATGCGAGCTCAATGCGAGTTATGGTTATGGCTAACTTACAGTTAGCAAACTATTAAATGGTTTATAAGATGTTTATACTGTATGCTCACAAAGTGTTAGTGATTTAGACTAGAGCATATTGTGTGGAAATCCACTCAAACCTGTGATGGATTTATTGTAGGCTACATCAATGGCACACAGTAGCCTAGAGACAGGAAAGAGCCTTGAGTGTTTAGCGGTGAGATAAGCTATGTTAGACTTCAGATGGCTAACAGTGTGCCATTACATTAGCATTTTAGCGTTGCGCTAGGCTATATTAGGCTAGACCATACATGGCTAACAGTGTGGCAAAGCTATACATTAGCATGTTAGCGGTGCGCTAGGCTATAGTAGCCTAGGCCACACTGGGCTAACGGTGTGTCATAGCCAATAACATTAGCATGTTAGAAGAGTGCTAGGCTATATCATGCTAGGCCACACAGGGCTTAGCGAACAGTGTGCCATAGCCATTCAAGTTTCAAGTTTTAATGTCACGTGCACAAGTACAGTGAAATCCCTTTCTTGCAAGCTCTAAACCCAACAATGCAATAATCTATAACAATGTAAGACTAAAAATAACATAAGGTAAAACATGCGATCGAGGGTGGTGCTATTGCCATACCAAGCGGTGATGCAGCCAGTCAAGATGCTCACAATGGTACAGCTGTATAACTTTTTGAGGATTTGCGGGCCCATGCCAAACCTTTTCAATCACCTGAGGGGGAAGAGGCGCTGTCGCGCCTTCTTCATGACTGAGCTCTCGACCCGCTCCACTGCAGCCCCGTCGATGGTGGGGCTGCAGTGGAGGGGCTGCAGTGGAGCGGGTTGAGAGCTCAGTCGTTTCTTGTAGTCCACAATCAGCTCCTTGGTCTTACTGACGTTGAGGGAGAGGTTGTTGTTCCTGCACCACACTTCCAGGTCACCTGACCTCCTCCTTGTAGGCTGTCTCATCGTCGCCTGTGATCAGGCCTACCACCGTCGTGTCGTCAGCAAACTTGATGATGGTGTTGGAGTCGTGCGTGGCCACGCAGTCGTGGGTGAACAGGGAGTACAGGAGGGGACTGAAAGGGTCTACAGACAATACGCAAACAGGGCTGACGTAGCGTAGTGCAGTGTTGCAATGTCGTTTTTCGTCACAACAGTTGTGGCTCCTTGTAATACGCTCCGTCATTTGACACAGTTTTTTTCGACCTGGAAATTGAGACCTGACGTATCGTTCCTTACGAAGACTGAGGGGCAGTACTAAGTGAGTTTTGCAATGGAAGTCCCGCCCCTGTGTCTACATCACATATTTTCCAGTATCCCTTCTGGTATGAACACAGAAGAGATGGATGTTCTGCTACTTCGCCTCTACTACTTGCAAGTTTCCTTTTTTGTGCTTTTTATTTCGAGATTTGCTAAGAGCAATTATGTCTGTCCAGTTTTGAGAAGCGTCTGTGTGAGCTGGTGAGACAATACGAGAACCTTAACAACCCTTCGATGCGGTTGTATTCGGACGAGCAAGCAAAAGACAGCAGCTGGAGGGAGATATCACGAAATTTGAACACCGATACTGATATCAAAGAAACATTGAGAAAGATTCGGGACCGGTATGTTCGCAATCTGAAAAGGGTGAAGGAGTCGAGGAGTGGGGCTGCCGCTGGTGTGTGTCCCACCGATTGTCAGACAACTGGATTGGCTTGATGTTCACGTGAAACATCGTCAGACAGACACCAATATGCCAGATATGGTATGTACTCGTCATGCAGCCAAGTCCTTTTGTACAGTGTGTGTGTTTGTGATCTTATCTTTAGTAGACCTAGTTAGAACATGTGAAATCAGCTCTTTTCTGGATGGGAGAAATTGTGAGTGGAAAATATTCAGTGCCTGTGTTGTTATCATAATGATTAGCAGGGCTAGTTCAAACATCTGACACACATGCACTGTAGTGTGTTTGTGTGTGTGTATGTGCTAATTAGATTGAGATGTTTATGAAATAAGTTATTTTGGGTAAATGTTTTAACTCAAAAGGATCCCATGGAGATGTTTTAAGATTGCTTGCATTGTATTATAATGTATTCGCCATCTGCTTGTAGGTGTTGGAGGGGGGTGGTGTTTTGGACAGTCTAGAGACAGAGCTGAGCCCTTAGGGCCACTCTACAGGTGGTTCATCGCCCCTTGATTCATCATCTCCCCGACCTGGTTCATCACCTATCAGGCCCCTCTCCCCAACGCCCAGGCCCTTCTCACCAACACCCATCCCACCGTCCAGGCGCGCTCAAACCGATCTCCCCGACCTCCAGCTCCAATGGCCGGAAAAGGAAGATGCTTAGGATCCTTTGGACACTGTCATTATGCAGCAGGTGGATGAGTTAAAGGAACGGCAGCAGGAGTTACAGAAACAGCAGCAGTGTCCAGCAAAGTCTGTCTACGATGTCATGGTACCATGGATTGTGTCTATTCCTGCTGACCAACGTCTCCCGTTTGTCTCACCCCAAAAAATTGTTGCTGTGTGCTTTTTTTTCTTATTCATATGCTAGGGTAGTGGGTCATTTATTTGTTGTGCAGTTTTTTCTTTCTTCCTCATTCACGTTACTGGTGTTTACTTTGTGTTTTTTCTCTTATTTCCCCTTTCATCACACTTTTCATCTGTGTATTACATTGTTTTACATTATTTTACATTTCCTCTTGTGATGGTAAATAAATATCTAAAAGGTCTGCAAATGTATTTATCTAGTTATTTTTACTTGTGGCAGAAAATATTACTGTTTTGAATCAGTCACTCAGTAAACTTGTACTGCTTTGTACATCTAGATGAGGTTAATGTCTTGTGGGTCTGCCCTTATTGTCTACAGCGGGCCCCTGTGTTGAGGATTAGCTAAGTGGAGGTGTTTGCCACCTGGGGGCAGCCCGTCAGGAAGTCCAGGACCCAGTTGCACAGGGCGGGGTTCAGACCCAGGGCCCCAAGCTTAATGATGAGCTTGGAGGGTACTATGGTGTTCAAAAGTACTTCATCATAGCGGATACATTTCTTGAAAATAAAGTAACAAATAAATGACAAAAGAATCACAAAATAGCAAAGTTGGGTCAGAGCTTGGGTCAGAGCTTGTAAAACATTGGCCATCCAGTGAAGGCTAATAGAAGCCAACAACTGAGCCCAGGGTAGGAGTTCAGGAATCAGGCCCCAAATTAGACCCCCCCCACACACCACCATTAGAGACCTCTTAGCTCTCAATCCTTACAGCCAAGGGATGAAAGACACGACACCTAAACAACCACGGGGGGCCAGTATGAAAAATGTATGCACTCACTAATTGTAAGTTGCTCTGGATAAGAGTTTCTGCTAAATGACTAAAATGTCAATTGGATCACTCAAAATATGTAGCCAGACACTGTAAAACATTATAGAATTAACTAAGAACGATAGACATTTCAATGTATTAATGCCCTGTTCTACACAATATATGTATATCTGAATGCTCTACTACTGTATAATATTGCACTGAATGAGCTCATGTCCTACCATAAGTACATGTATGTATGCTAACTACACTAGCCTCAAGAATCTATTTGAACTTTAAGTACCACAGGGTAAAGTAGAATGCTCAGCAGGGTGTACCCAGGGCCTATGCTGGCGCCCTGGCTCTCTGTGTGAGTGTGTGTGTGTTTATGCGCGTTTATGCGTGAGCCTACGTTTGTGTGTGCTCGTAGGTTTGTCGTGAACTGGATCCTCTCCACGGCGCGGTTAGGTGAGCTAGACAGCGAGGCACCAGCCCTTGTTTTGTGCGTCTGCCTGGGAATGAAATGATAGAAGCCCATTTCTTGTTGTTTTCCCCCCTCAAGACATGAATACAGTCAGAAAGGGTCTGTGTTACCCTCTTCGCCACCTCCCTGCTCTGAAACTGTACCCGGTTGTTTTTCGCAGAGACATTTCGAACCGCAATTATGATAATGACCCTTGTGCCAGTCCAACAGGAAGTTTCGAAAGATGGGATTAGGATTTTTTCACCGGTTTGATGCCTGCTGTCTTCAGAAAAGGGAATTTTTCCCACCCTCTCCCTTGACAAATTCCCCCCATTTCATCCTGTTTGGAAAACTATATTCCTGACCATGCCTATATCAGCATATTCTTGACCAAGGCTGATTGTAATATCAGTTGCTCAAAACATGAAACTGCTAATGCTGAAATGTACAATTCAAACCTTGAGTCTACTGCCACCATTTTAAAAAGTCCCCCAAATGTCGCTAAAACATCACTGACTGACTTTGGCATCTTTCTCGGCAGCCATGACCCCTCCTCTGTCTCCATTGAGAACGCGGCGGCGGTGGGTCATCCCCAGGCGTCATCATCGTCCCACAGCGAGGGGGACTCCAGAGGGGGGTCATCTTCCCAGGATGGAGACTTCACCCAGCCCCAATTCGGGGTCCAGCAGATCCCCCAGACCTACAAAGAACTGGCCGAGCCCTGGATCAAGGTGAGAGGGGTGGAAAGATAGATGTGGGGTCTAATAATGTGTACCAGACCTGGATCAAATACATATGTACAATACTTTAAAATACTTGATTTACCTTTTGAGCTTGTATTTTGGGACTGTTCCATTCTATTTTGGGACTATTCCATTCTATTTTGGGACTGTTCCACTGCACTAGGCAAACCAAACCAAATGTCTTCATGCCTTTGCATACCAAGAGGGTTTACATGTAGTTGATGTCTGTATCAGATCAGTGCCATATTCCGTTCGTAGTTATCATTTTGTGTGTCCTCCTCTCCAGGTGTTTGGCATGGAGTTGGTGGGCTGCCTGTTCTCCAGGAACTGGAACATCCGGGAGATGGCCCTGCGGCGACTGTTGCATGACGTCAGCGGCGCGCTCCTCCTGGCCAATGGCGAGCACTCCTGCCCGGGGGCCGGGCTGGGGGCCGGGGCGGGCTGTACAGAGGTGTCGGGTGATGTGGTGTTGGAGTCATGCTGTAGCGTCCTCTCTATGGTGTGTGCCGACCCTGTCTACAAGATCTACGTGGCCGCACTGGTGAGACTCTTTTTAATATTACTGTACCCACAGAGATCCTACGAAATTAAGAATGAAGTTTTACTATATAATTATGTAACTGTACCGTACTCCAGAAGTCAGGGAAAGCATTTTGGACCCCTTAAAGTCTTAGATCCCATTCAGAAACAACCCCTAGCCCAGGGTTTCCCAAATGTTTATCTTTATTAGGATCCCCATTAGCTGATGCCATGATGACAGCTAATCTTGGGGTTGGGACCCCATGTATTAAATGAGAGATTATCTAACTAACCTCTGTAATTTGATCAAAGGAAATAATTGGATATGTCTAAGAAATATGGTTGTAGATCCATCTAGTGGTTGTTTCTGGACTGGGCCTTTTGATATTCACACGTGTTCCTTATACTGCACTTCACTAAAGTGAGAGGCCCATATATTGAATATATCTTCACTCTCAAAGATATGGTCAACAACCTCAATAGGAATGCATTTCCAGGAATCACCATCACTTCAAAGATAAATGATACACTGTACTGTACAGTGATTGCAATGCATAGATGGTCAAGTAACTTCAGTTCATTGCCAATCACCCCAGAGTGATGAACACAAGAAAAGTATTGTTATCGGTACTCTGGAATTGATTAGTTAGCACTACCAGATCTCCGCTTTCACCCTTCTCCCTCCCACCCAACATTGATGAACGTTATCTCTTAAATTGTGCTGAAGTTCACTTCAACAACAAGCTAGTCTGGCTAGCTCTAAAGTCCACTGAACATCCAGGAAGTCTCAACAGAGTCAAACCAGGGACAGACTAAACAAGGTCTTTCTCACTATTTCTTTTACATGATCTCTTTGAACAATAGTTTTGTATTTAATTTTTTTCATTAGTCATTTAGCAATCATTCTTACCTAGAGCGACTTACAGTAGTAAGTGTATACATTTTTCATACTTTTTTTTACTGGTCTCCTGTGGGAGTCGAACACACAATCTGGCATTGCAAGCGCCATGCTCTACCAACTGAGCCACATGGGATCCTAGTTCTTGGTGCGTGTTTTAAAAAATGCAGGCCGTCTGGAAGATCGACATTTCCCCGCAGCACTTTGCTTCAGCAGAGCAGCAGTTATGGAAAACAAAAAAAGTTCTGTCCTCTCGGGGGGCTTTCCAGGGTGTTTAGTAGCAGACAGACTTTGGTGTTTGCTGTATTCTTCAATCAAGACCAAGAAGGGGATGGTGGTGATGGCGGGTGGACAAAGAATACCACAGGCACCACCATATTTGGAGGAGTGGGCCAGATCGACTTAAATCGTCGCTTTGAAAATGCTCTATTTTGTTCCAGGTTAAAGACCGCGCTCGCATCGCGGGGCAAAGTCGTTAGCTTGTAGCAAGTGAAAACGCCAGAGCCAACATTTCAAGAACTTTGAGAAGTTGGGGCTCCTGTTTTATTACCTTTTCATACCATGTGAGGTGGCCTTCCCTATTGGAAGTTTGTTTGTTTTGCCGAAACGCTTGTTTATTGATATGATCTGTCTCCTAAGAGTGGAGTAGACTGGGGAACATGGAGTAACGGGGGTTGAGAGGGAGAGATAGTGTGTGCGAGTGTGAAAGAGCGAGTGGGACAAAATAGTTATAGTGAGGGAAGCGTGATGGGAGGAAAGACTAACCTTGCCTGCCTGGCAGAGGGAGAGTGAGAAAGAACTTTGAATCTGTCTCTGGACAGCGTTCCATTGCAACGCTCTATCAGTCACCACTCCCCACGCCTCCTCTCTCTCTGGGAGTCAGGCTGCATCGCCTGGACCCCAGCACCTCCACCCCTCTCCTGGGGCGGAGCACCACCAAGTCTCCACCTCCTGCCGAGGCCACAGAGGCCTCACTAATGGCCTTGAGGTCAGGCCCAGGCAGCCATATTGTCACAGGAATAGACAGAGTCATAACTCGGCGGGGTCAAAAGTGCAATTCCTCCCAGTCTGGGGGAGAGGTGGAGGTGCGCCACAGGGATGAGCATTGTGCCCAGTGATATTTTGTGACTTCGAAGTTTTGATCTTGTAGTCTTGAGCTCACAGCCTTGGTGGGTGCTTATTTTGTTCTATTTCACACATGTACAAGTGTGTATTATACACGTGTGAATTGGCAATGTTTTTTTTGCATATCCCAACTCTCCCTGAGACACCCTCGGAGAGTGGGGTCACGGCCAGGGTCTGCCATTATCAACGGCGACCCTGGAGCAATTAGGAAAAAAGGAGGAAAATTAAAAGTCCACTGTTCGAATCCCGTCTCGGCCAGAATTAACATTTCTAAACAACCACTATAGTCTCCAAAAGTGTTGTTTTTCACATTTGTGAATTTAAGATCGCCTAAGTTAATGGAACGATTATGGTTGTTCTAATGAGGTTGGTTTATTACTGTACTATACTCCCGTTACGTTGTTTATGCAATTAGTATCTTCAATTATCAGTTAACCAGTAAAGTCCCACCGCCGATCCACAGTGTTACGTTAGGGCGCTCCAAGAGGTCTTGTGTTTCTCATTGACTCTGCTAAACGCCCAGGGATTTGTTTTCTCTCCGTCTCGTGTTTTCCAGTAACTTTAACTTTTACGGTAATTTTATTTTCATGACAGTCTTCATCAATAACCGTCGGTTACACAGATAATTGTGCCAGCCCTATTTAGGCCTAGACTTTTTTTGCTTGATATAAAGCGTTCTAAACTCATACTTGATAGTAAGTTCTCAGCCATTGGTTTGCCAGCTAATATTTTGTGATGAAGCTTTACACTATATATCACCATACTTATCTCTTTTTTATCTTTATTTTAATTTTACTGGACACACAGTAACAATATCGGTGCTATATGTTTAAGTTGTAGATGTGAACCCTGGTCTCTTGTCCCCTTCCTGTAGAAAACCTTGCGGGCCATGCTGGTGTACACGCCCTGCCACTCGGTGTCTGAACGCTCACGGCTGCAGCAGCTGCTCCGGCCCGTGGTGGAGACTATCCTGGTCAAATGTGCAGATGCCAACAGGTAAAGTCTGTCTCAAACAAACGAGTGGGATAGATATGAGAGCCTGTCAGTGGTTCACCGCAACTGCTAGTAGCTAGTGCCCTCTGGTGGGCAATACAAAACATGACATGCACTTGTTTGAACTCACCACACTGATCATACTGGATGATATACTGTATATCTGAGGTATTCAAATCTAAGCCTGGAGGTGCAGAGCACTGCTTCTTTTCTGTTCTACCTTATAATTAATTGCACCCACCTGGTGTCCCAGCTCTAAATCAATCCTTGTTTAGAGTGGACAAATGAAAATCAGCAGTGGAACTGGCTTTGAGGTCCAGATTTGAATTAGCCTGATACACTGTAGATCTTCAAGAACTGACTCAAACATGGCCACCTTTTCTTGTAATATAATACTGTATTCATTAGGTTGATAGTACATGAATAAACAGATTATATTCCCCATGTCTCATTTCAATATGTCTCAATTGCACAATGTATAATCTTGGTTAACCCAGAACTACAATCTCGCTGGTCTGATATATTTACGTAGTCTGTCCACGAGAGATTACAAACTGTAGAAAAAGTATGATTTCAAAATTAATTAAAAGCATTAGCAGTCTAGCATGGACATAAATACATTTTGAGTGTTGTTTCTCTGTGTCATGTCCAGTCGTACCAGCCAGCTGTCAGTGTCAACACTACTGGAGCTGTGTAAAGCCCAGGTGGGAGAGCTGGCCGTGGGCAGAGAGCTCCTCAAAGCAGGTAAGAACTACAAATCCCATTTATCCCTGCTGGGAGCTCAGCGGAAATGTGAAAAGCTCTCCCCATATCACTCAAATTGATGTATGTGACTGTCACTCATGTCTTAACAACAGTTTACAAATAAAAAAACGATCCAACTGACTACTCACTATAAACGTCTCTCCCTCTCTCCCAGGGGCCATCGGTATTGGCGGGGTGGATTATGTCCTGAACTGCCTCCTGGGGCCCCAGACGGAGGCCAATAACTGGCAGGCCCTGCTGGGCCGTCTTTGTCTGATTGACAGGCTCCTGCTGGAGTTCCCCGCCGAGTTCTACCCCCACATAGTTTCCGGAGGGGACTGCCACCAGTCTCAGACCCTGGCGGAGAGGTCCGTGATTTTATAGTCATATCATATAGCCTTGAGCGCACAGCTGTGAGTTGGTGACCTTGTCCTTGTATAGCTTTGGTCACCTAGCTGCTGACTAGAGTCTCCGACTCTGTGGGAGAGGTGGTGGTGCGCCACAGGGAAGAGCATTGTGCCCAGTGATATTTTGTGACTTTGAAGTTTTGATCTTGTAGTCATGTAGCCTTGAGCTCACAGCCTTGAGTTGGTGACCTTGTAATAATAATTATGGGTGCTTATATTTGTTCTATTTCATACATGTACAAGTGTGTATTTTACACGTGTGAAATGGAAATGTTTTGTTTTTTTGCATATCCCAAATCTCCCTGAGACACCCTCGGAGAGTGGGGTCACGGCCAGGGTCTGCCATTATCAACGGCGACCCTGGAGCAATTAGGAAAAAATAAGGAAAATTAATGGTCCACAGTTCGAATCCCGTCTCGGCCAGAATTAACATTTCTAAACAACCACTATAGTCTCCAAAAGTGTTGTTTTTCACATTGGTGAATTTAAGATCGCCTAAGTTAATGGAACAATTATGGTAGAATAATCATAACATATAGAAGTGTTGTTCTAATGAGGTTAGTTTATTACTGTACTATACTCCTGTTACGTTGTTTATGCAATTAGTATCTTACATTATCAGTTATCTGTTGCGGTTTCTTGTGGACTGCATATAATTATAAATATACAATTTCAAAGATTTTACTGAGTTACAGTTCATAAAAGGAAATCAGTCAATTGAAATAAATAAATTAGTCCCGAAACTATGGATTTCACATGACTGGGAATACAGATATGCATCTGTTGGTCACAGATACCTTTAAAAAAAGGTAGGGGTGTGGATCAGAAAACCAGTCAGTATCTGGTGTGACCACCATTTGCCTCATGCAGCGCGACACATCTCCTTCGCATAGAGTTGATCAGGCTGTTGATTGTGGCCTGTGGAATATTGTCCCAGTCCTCTTCAATGGCTGTGCGAAGTTGCTGGATATTGACGGGAACTGGGTCACGCTGTTGTACACATCGATCCAGAGCATTCCAAACATGCTCAATGGGTGACATGTCTGGTGAGTATACAGGCCATGGAAGAACTGGGACATTTTCAGCTTCCAGGAATTGTGTACAAATCCTTGCGACATGAGGCTGTGCAAAGGGCTGTGGTGGTCATTTTGTCAGCCAGTTATTGTCATGCAAAAGTCTGCTGGTCTTATGGTAATTGACCGTTAATTAACTTTAACAGGTTTAGCATATCCAGGCCTCTAGGCATACAAGCCGCTGATGCGTGCCTTTTGAACGTCTACATTTAAAAAAGTATAATAAATCAATTTAATATACACCATCACAATAAACCCATAATTTATTTTTTGTCAGATCTAAAGAAACATTATGATATGAAGAGAATGTATTTCCAAATAACAGAATATGTGTTGGCCTACTGTAGACCTATGTTATCTGGCTATGCTCCATGCCAAAGGCTGTAGGCTTGTTCATTTAGCTGACAAGATATGCTTATAAGTCCCATGCCATTATTTTATTTTATCTGATTTTATAATAAGAAGAATATAATTGAACTTAGCTTAATAAAATATACATAATATTTTTCCCATTACAGAGCGAGTGCGCATATGAAGTGGCTATGTTGAGCGTACAAGTGATCATTTGAAACAGGTCCTATATGCTAGATTTAGAGTTATTTGGCAACTTTAGTTGTGAATGATACAAACCTTAGAATGTCTTAGAAATCAAAACATACAGTGGGGGAAAAAAGTATTTAGTCAGCCACCAATTGTGCAAGTTCTCCCACTTAAAAAGATGAGAGAGGCCTGTAATTTTCATCATGGGTACACGTCAACTATGACAGACAAAATGAGAAATTTTTTTCCAGAAAATCACATTATAGGATTTTTAATGAATTTATTTGCAAATTATGGTGGAAAATAAGTATTTGGTCAATAACAAAAGTTTCTCAATACTTTTTTATATACCCTTTGTTGGCAATGACACAGGTCAAACGTTTTCTGTAAGTCTTCACAAGGTTTTCACACACTGTTGCTGGTATTTTGGCCCATTCCTCCATGCAGATCTCCTCTAGAGCAGTGATGTTTTTTGGGCTGTCGCTGGGCAACACAGACTTTCAACTCCCTCCAAAGATTTTCTATGGGGTTGAGATCTGGAGACTGGCTAGGCCACTCCAGGACCTTGAAATGCTTCTTACGAAGCCACTCCTTCGTTGCCCGGGCGGTGTGTTTGGGATCATTGTCATGCTGAAATACCCAGCCACGTTTCATCTTCAATGCCCTTGCTGATGGAAGGAGGTTTTCACTCAAAATCTCACGATACATGGCCCCATTCATTCTTTCCTTTACACGGATCAGTCGTCCTGGTCCCTTTGCAGAAAAACAGCCCCAAAGCATGATGTTTCCACCCCCATGCTTCACGGTAGGTATGGTGTTCTTTGGATGCAACTCAGCATTCTTTGTCCTCCAAACACGACGAGTTGAGTTTTTACCAAAAAGTAATATTTTGGTTTCATCTGACCATATGACATTCTCCCAAGCCTCTTCTGGATCATCCAAATGCACTCTAGCAAACTTCAGACGGGCCTGGACATGTACTGGCTTAAGCAGGGGGACACGTCTGGCACTGCAGGATTTGAGTCCCTGGCGGCGTAGTATGTTACTGATGGTAGGCTTTGTTACTTTGGTCCCAGCTCTCTGCAGGTCATTCACTAGGTCCCCCAGTGTGGTTCTGGGATTTTTGCTCACCGTTCCTGTGATCATTTTGACCCCACGGGGTGAGATCTTGCGTGGAGCCCCAGATCGAGGGAGATTATCAGTGGTCTTGTATGTCTTCCATTTCCTAATAATTGCTCCCACAGCTGATTTCTTCAAACCAAGCTGCTTCCCTATTGCAGATTCAGTCTTCCCAGCCTGGTGCAGGTCTACAATTTTGTTTCTGGTGTCCTTTGACAGCTCTTTGGTCTTGGCCATAGTGGAGTTTGGAGTGTGACTGTTTGAGGTTGTGGACAGGTGTCTTTTATACTGATAACAAGTTCAAACTGGTGCCATTAATACAGGTAATGAGTGGAGGACAGAGGAGCCTCTTAAAGAAGAAGTTACAGGTCTGTGAGAGCCAGAAATCTTGCTTGTTTGTAGGTGACCAAATACTTATTTTCCACCATAATTTGCAAATAAATTCATTAAAAATCCTACAATGTGATTTTCTGGATTTTTTTTTCTCAATTTGTCTGTCATAGTTGACGTGTACCTATGATGAAAATTACAGGCCTCTCTCATCTTTTTAAGTGGGAGAACTTGCACAATTGATGGCTGACTAAATACTTTTTTCCCCCACTGTATGGGCTGCATGGTGCGACTATAGGCTATTGATGATTTGAGAAAGTAGCAAAAACAGCTTGCTCTGTTCCATGCCTCAGGCTGCACAGCTATTCTCTCATCAAGTTATCATATTTTCACCCATCAGACTATTCTCAATTTAATCTTGTCTTTACTAATATGTTAAATTATTTTTGATTTAGAATGGACCATTATCAAATGGTACAGGAACAGGGGGAAAAATACATGTCATATGTATGCACTCCAATAGCCTAGTGAAGGGAGGATGCGCTCTTTCCTGCCGGCCTGTTTTGTAGGCTACTTCGGTTTTATAGCGGAGCATGTGCTTAATATGAGCAGCTGAGAAATAAATATAAGAACACTTATTTCACTCTATGCATCAACCACTGTTTGATGAGCATGCTCTCGCTGCCCGATAGGTGATATTCTCCCAAACTCTGTATGCCATGGGCGCTCTCCAACATTGTTCCTGCAGCTACCCAGTGCTTAGTTTGGGAAACCAAGTGAAATATGTTTGGGAACATCAATCGTAGCATGTTTTCGCAACAAAACATATTTCATTAAAATGTTGACAGCCTGTCTGTGCGCTCAAGACAGGAGTAAAGGAGAGATAGGAGGAGATGGAAATGCATAGTGGTGACCGATTCTTTATAGCTGTCGGTCAATTAATTATGAAAAGATAAAAAATGTCCTATTAATAGCCTATTCAAAATCAAATACAAATTCACTAATTATACACTAACTGTAAGCAGCCCTGCACAATCAATGAACCAACAGCATCGCCTAGGGCTATACGTTCTCTCCCAGACTCTTTGGAGCATAGCATAAGGTAACCAGTCCATCCAGTATGCATAATAATACACTCCACACTCAACAGTGATTACTCAAATTTGTTTAATTTTGGAGTATAGGCTAGACTAATTATGTACCAAAACCATCTTAAATGAGTTGTATGTTTTTCTGCCATGCATAATATGCCGTAGGCAGTTTTTTTTTAGGCTTGTACTCATATGGCAATGCATAAGCTCTAATATGCATAACAGAAAAACATAAAACTGATTTAAGGTTTGAATTAATCATCACCTTAGAAAGCACTGTCCATTTCGTTGTGTTAGGCTTTGAAACAACATCCACAACAACCATGTTTTACACTGTTTCAACCTGCTGTTGGAGTTCTTTCTTCAAATGTATCATCACAGTGAGGTGAGTTTTAAAAGTATGATAGGGCTAGTGTTTTGATGATAAGTGTTTGATGTGATTTTTTATCGCATTTGCTTTGATGTCAGAGTGGTTAGAGGGACAATAGAGCCCTGAGTACCAGGCCATTAGGACCTGATGGTAGTTAGCAAGTTGGGTACTACAAATATCACGTTTCAGGGTAAGACCCAGATGCAGACAGTGTCGAAGTAACAAACGTTTATTACAAAAACAGGGGGCATGCAAACGACAGGTCAAGGGCAGGCAGACATCAGTAATCCAGGAGACAAGAGACAAAGGGCTGTGAGACATGGGTTTGAGCCTAGACACATGAAAAGTGGGATGTATACGGAGGGTTCGGGGCAACAGAAGACGAACAGCAGAGGGGCTAATGATCTTGGAGATGGGGAAAGGGCCGATAAACCGGGGGGAAAGTTTTGCAGGACTCCACGTGGAGGGGCAGATCTCGGGTGGACAGCCATACCTTCTGCCCGAGACAATACCGGGGAGCCAGGGTCCGGTGGCGGTCCGCTTGTTGTCGAGTATGCCGACCTCTTGCTCCGGGAAGAGCGGGGGCTGATAACCCAGAGAACCCGTGGCAGAGCAGGGAAGGGTGTTGCGGGCGTATTCAACCCACACTAGTTGCTGGCTCCAGGTGATGGGGTTGGCGGAGACCAGGCAGCGCAGAGTCGTCTCCAGGTCTTGGTTGGCTCGCTCCGACTGGCCGTTGGACTGAGGGTTGAAACCGGAGGACAGGCTGGCCGATGACCCAATGAGTGTGCAGAACGCCTTCCAGAACTGGGACGAGAACTGAGGACCCCGGTCGGAGACCATGTCCACTGGGAGTCCATGGATCCGGAAGACGTGATGCACCATGAGCTGGGCCGTCTCTTTGGCGGAGGTTAGCTTGGGGAGAGGAATGAAGTGGAGGCGGCGATGAACGCGGAGACGTCAGGAACCACGGTAGGCCATCAAAAGCGTTGTCGCACAAAGGCCAGGGTCCGAAGGGAGCCCGGGTGGCAGGCGGGTGGCAGGCAAGTCTGGACCGTGGAGCGGAAAGCGTCAGGAACAGACATCCGGTTATCTGCCCCCCCCCGCTGCGCCTCCCGGACCTGCTTCCCTACTCCCCAACTGAGTGCCATTGTGGTAGGCTGCCTAACAGACAACCTGCGGAAATGCTCCAGCAATGTGTTAAATGCGTTCGGCCAAGGTCTGGAACCCTTCCATGAGACCACAAAGCAATTCCTCGTGCCTTCCAATGGTGGCTCCTTGGGAAGAGATGGCGTTGCAGAGCTGGTCTGAGTCTGTTGGGTCAGTCATGGCCAGTTTGTACTATCACGTTTCAGGAGAAGACCCAGATGCAGACAGTGTCGAAGTAACAAAAGTTTATTACAAAAACAGGGGGCAGGCAAATGACAGGTCAAGGGCAGGCAGAGGTCAGTAATCCAGATCAGAGTCCAATAGGTACAGAATGGCAGGCAGTCTCAGGGTCAGGGCAGGCAGAGGTCAATAATCCAGGGTGGTGTGACAAGGTACAGAACGGCAGGCAGGCTCAGGGTCAGGGCAGGCAGAATGGTCAAAACCGGGAAAACTAGAAAACAGGAATTTGAGAAAGACAGGAGCAGGGGAAAAACGCTGGTAGGCTTGACGAAACAAAACGAACTGGCAACAGACAAACAGAGAACACAGGTATAAATACTCTTGTGATAATGGGGAAGATGGGCGACACCTGGAGGGGGGTGGAGACAATCACAAAGACAGGTGAAACAGATCAGGGTGTGACAACAAAGGCATGTCCAGAGTGCATAAAAGAAGATTACTGTTACTCAATGGTCACATGGACATTTACGGTGTGGCGGTAATACTGTCACCGCAACAGCCCAAGCCGTGCATTATCATGCTGAAACATGAGTTGATGGCGGCAGATGAATGGCACGACAAAGGGCCTCAGGATCTCGTCACGGTATCTCTGCATTCAAATTGCCATCGATAAATTGCAATTGTGTTCGCTGTCTGTCGCTTATGCGTGCCCATACCATAACCCCACTGCCACCATAGGGCACTCTGTTCACAATGTTGACATCCGCTAACCGCTCACCCACACGACGCCATACACGTGGTCTGCGGTTGTGAGGCCGGTTGGACGTACTGCCAAATTCTCTAAAACAACATTGGAGGCGGCTATGTAATGATCATGCTGTTTAATCAGCTTCTTGATATGCCACATGGTAGAGCACGGCGCTTGTAACGCCAGGGTAGTGGGTTCGATCCCCGGGACCACCCATATGTAAAAATGTATGCGCACATGACTGTAAGTCGCTTTGGATAAAAGCGTCTGCTAAATGGCATATTATATTATATTATTATTATCTTGGCAAAGGAGAAATGCTCACTAACAGGGATGTAAACACATTTGTGCACAACATTTGAGAGAAATAAGCTTTTTGTGCGTATTAAACATTTCTGGGATCTTTTGTTTCAGCTCATGAAACATGGGACCAACACTTTACATGTTGCGTTTATATTTTCGTTCAGTGTACATCACATCCCATTGGGTACAGATATCAATTCAACGTCTATTCCACGTTGGTTCAACGTAATTTCATTACATTGATGTGGAAACAAAGTTGATTCAACCAGTGTGTGCCCAGTGGGAAGGAAGGGAGTGGTTTGTGACACACAAGCGCAACCTTGGGTTAATGCTGGATCTGATTGAATCAAGCCCTTAATTGTAGAAAGAAGATGAAAAGGACTGGAGTACAGCAGAGTCTAAATGGAAACTAGTGATGCGTTGCCACTATTTTACTTGGACAGTTCTCTTACCTATGAAAATGAGAGCTACTCTAACTTTACTGTACTGTTACCATGCTAGCTAGCTAGCTTGTCAGGCAGCTAAGCTAAGCAGCAGGTATTGATAGCCACATGTTAGCAGTTGCTATTTAAATGATACCGTTGGAAAACAAGTTGGCTCTGGTTAATATCACCATTGCAGTATAATTCATGTTTTTAATCTTACCTTGTGGTATGAAAAGCTGATAGTCCAGGAGAAAGTTGGAGAAGGTTGGCTAGCTAGCTAGCTACAGTTCTGTCTCGATCGTCTGGACATCGCTCTTTTTTCCCCAAGTGGTTGGCTGAGTCATCCAATAGCGTCACACCCCTCCATTGTTCAAAAGATGGAGTGGTGTGAGGCTGTGTCCTTTTTCCAAAGAATGAGAACCAATACATGATTGGCTTTTGAAACATGGCCATGGAGATGGTGATTGGACATGGTTAACAGCCTAACGTGAGTTAAAATAGCGCCACCTGCCGCTCCTCTAGGCGCATCGGGTCCAATTTTTTACAGTCTTTGGTATGACTCAGCCGGGAATCGAACTCCCAATCTCAGGGCGGACACTCTAACCACAAGGCCACTGAGTAGGTATAGCCTGGTTTTTCCTCGACCACCGAGACAAGGTCAAGACCTTTTAGACTGGAGTGCGTAGCCTTTGACACGACCTGGTCCATTAATCTAAATGTTCATTGTCAGGCTCCTAAGGTTCTATTATATATTGTATGGGCCTTTTAATAAACACCTCACACTTTATTAGAAATGGTTTCCTGATTTGTAGCTTGTTATTCAGTAGTTTGGGCTATTTGTAATGTTGGTGGCATTATGGAAATTCAAAATCTTTTTTCCAAGTAAGAATAAATAATCATAACCACTCTCCATTCTGGAAAACACTTTCTTGAATCATACATTTGTATCTCACACAGTTCATTAATTGAAAAAAATTGTACACTCTCTAGGGAATAGGGAGTCATTTGAGACACAGCCTTTTAAGTTGTCCTTCTCCTCTCTCCAGGTATCAGAAGCTGCTTCCTCTGCTGAGCTTCGCGCTGCAGTCCATCGACAACTCCCACTCCATGGTGGGTAAGCTGTCTCGCCGCATCTTCCTGAGCGCCGCGCGCATGGTGGCCCGCGTGCCGCACGTCTTCGTCAAACTCCTGGATATGCTGAGCATCACCAGCTCCACGCATTACGCCCGCATGCGCCGCCGCTTGCTTGCCATCGCCGAGGAGATGGACATCCTGGACGCCATCAACCTGGGCCTGGAGAGCATGGAGCACAGCGCCAGCGAGGCACACGAACAGGCCAGCGCCGCCTTCATGGAGCCCTCCACACCTCAGAACTCGCCCAACGTGACCGAGAGCAACACACCAACGCATACGGTTCAGCTAGCCAGCGGAAAGGGAGGGAGAGGTTGCTTTGGCAAGGTGGGAGCGAGTCCTGAGGATATTACTGAGAGGTTAGCGGCCATTTCGTCTAACACCGGGCATCCCAATATGGCAGCTTCCGCGTGCGGTGGGGCCCCGGCCGAGCACCCAAAGCCCCCCGTTCGGGCACGTAGCCAGTGCCTGAACTCCCCCTCTTCCAGACAAGCCCCCAGCCTCCCCTCGCCCTCCACCTCCTTCCCGGGTCCTGACAGCAGTCCCAAACCCCAACCCCAGAGCTTCGTCCCCAGCAAGCTGGCATCTTCTGCCTCCTCCTGCTCCCCCGGCACCCAGCGCAGGTTCCCCCAGCAGAAGCCCTGCAGCAGCAAGGACCCCGAGAAGCATCTCCCCTCCCCCTGCTTCACCCAGGCCCGACCCCTCCCCTCCAGCCAGATCCACAGACCAAAGCCCTCCCGACCCACCACCTCCGAGAGGGCCAAGGCCCTCTGCACCCCGCCCACCCCAAGAGCCTCCAAGAACAGCATGAAGCTGGACCTCCAGGGAGAGTTGGCCAGCATTTCTACCAGTGCCTCCGGAGGTGAAGGCCTCTCCACAGGAGGCCACATGGGGGGAGCCACCACCCTCATCACCAGCGAGGACAGCTGCTTTACCCCCGTGGAGGAGAAGTTCCGCGGCCTGGACGCCTCGGCCGAGCTCAATTCCTCCATGGAAGACCTCCTGGAAGCCTCCATGTCGGCAGCCGGCTACGCCACAACCGTCACCTTCCAGTCGGAGGTGGCCGTGCTGTCGCCAGAGTGGGTCGGGGACGTGCTAGGGGAAGGGGGAGCTGTCGGGACGTACAGCGAGGACGTGACGCAGCACCAGAAGTGCAAGGAGAAGATGGAGGCGGAGGAGGAAGAGGCGCTGGCCGTGGTCATGGCCATGTCGGAGTCACAGGATGCGCTGCCCGTCATCCCCCAGCTACAAGTGGACAAGGACCAGGACTGCATCATCGTCCAGGCAGATGTGAGTTAATTAAAACACCCTCAGGAACTTATGTACCTATAAGGCCGGTTTTCCAGACACAGATTTAGCGTAAAACTGGACAAAGAAATACTTTGAACTGAGAATCTTCATTAAGCATGCTTCTTAGTCCAGGTCCGGGAAATTTACTGATAAAGGTTTAGACTCAACAAGTTGTTTTACCATAACAATACAAGGCCGAGTAGACATAATAACTGGCAGATGAGTAGAGAACATTGAACATTGTTACACCAAAGCTCATAGCCTACATCTGAATCTTATCATACATATCAACCTGTTGACTGCTAAACCATATTATAAACCAGGTAGTTTGGGTCCTGGATGCTGATTGGTTGAAACAGCATTTCAGCCGTGTGAATATCAGACAATATACCACGGGTATGACACAAAAATACTTGCTTACTGTTTTATTTAGGTTGGTAACCAGTTTATAATAGCAATAAGGCACCTCAGGGTTGTGGTATATGGCCAATATGCCACGGACAAGAACAGCCCTTAGCCGTGGTATATTGGCCAATATACCACACCCCCTCAGGCCTTATTGCTTAAATAAACCATGATTTACAAATAGTATCCCCCACCAAGCCCAAAAAATTCTAACCCACAGCATGTACAGGTAACTTCTAAAATAATGGAAACGCTTGAGTAAATGAGGGATACAAAGTATACTGAAAGCAGGTGCTTCCACACAGGTGTGGTTCCTGAGTTAATTAAGCAATTAACATCCCATCATGCTTATGGTCATGTATAAAATGCTGGGCATGCCATTATTTTGGCTACCATGGCTATGCTCCCATAGGATGACAATGCCCTAATCCACAGGGCACGAGTGGTCACTGAATAGTTTGAGCAGCATGAAAATGATGTAAACCATATGCCATGGCTGAAAAGTATTGGTTGGTTACAAAATCGAAGGACCATTCAAATAGATAGAAAACTCAGGTGCTGACTTCCAGGCCGGTAGTAACCACTGCTGTGGGAGGTCTCGACCTATCGGCAGGAACAGTGGTCTTATGCTATCCTGCTACTCGTGGGCCCGTGAAAAGCTCAACGAATTGTGTGAGGGGTGGGAATGGGCGGATTTCTCGATTCCTTTCTCCGGCCGGCCGTTGTATTGGGCAGTTCAATGGTGAGAAATGTCTCAGTCCCTGAAGCAAAAACTTTACAAAAGCACGAGTACAGGACATCAATAAGCTGCTCCCAAACATTTTAAACCAGCATCAGGAAATTAGAGTCTATCATAGTTCATGTGGGATTCAATGACACTATGAAGGGCAGCTCAGAAGAGCTGAAGATGGATTTTAAGAACCTGATTGGGTCTCTACTTGACAACAACAAACGCCCCAAAATATCTGGCCCTCTGCCTTCCCTAAATTGTGGCATTGAATGGTTCGATATACTTTTAGCCCTCCATAACTGGCTACGAGACTATTGCAGCTCTGTGGGTGTAACATTTATTGACAATTTTGATACCTATTGGAAACAAAGCTCGTATTATAAGGAGGATGGGATCCACCCAAATCATTTGGGTTCCTGGATCCTTTCACAGCATTATACGTCAGCGTTGAGACAATGACTTATCAATGAACCAAGCCCAGCTCATTTAATCCATACCATTGTGTCGCTGATTTGTCATAATGCTTCAGCAAATGTACATTATCCCAGGGACGCTGGAAGACACAATGTAAGTAACCTAATTTATGTCCCTCTTACTTCCCTGAATGCCTCTGCTGATCCTACAGCTATTGTTTGCAGTAATCATGTGCCTATAAACCAGAGTTATAATGTTAGCACTGAGGCGGTGTGCCCTAGCAGGAAGTGCACTGTGTGCAGCGCACCCTGCACTAACATAAATAACCTGAGCATGTCTACATCTGCTAAACTTCCCAGTAAAGCAATAAAAACAATCAAGCATCCCAGAAAAGTGCTAAAAAATAGCCCACATGAACATATGTAGCTTAAGAGACAAGGTTAATGAAATTAATAATTTGCTAGTAATAGATGACATTTGTATTCTGACAATCTCTGAAACTCACTTAGATACTACCTTTGATGATACAGTGGTAGCAATACATGGTTAAAGGATCTACACAAAAGACAGAATAACAACAAAAAAATCCTGAAAAATGCATGTCAAAAATGTTATAAATTGATTTGCATTTTAATGAGGGAAATAAGTATATGACCCCCTCTCAATCAGAAAGATTTCTGGCTCCCAGGTGTCTTTTATACAGGTAACGAGCTGAGATTAGGAGCACAATCGTAAAGGGAGTGCTCCTAATCTCATTTTATTACCTGAATAAAAGACACCTGTCAACAGAAGCAATCAATCAATCAGATTCCAAACTCTCCACCATGGCCAAGACCAAAGAGCTCTCCAAGGATGTCAGGGACAAGCTTGTAGACCTACACAAGGCTGGAATGGGCTACAAGACCATCGCCAAGCAGCTTGGTGAGAAGGTGACAACAGTTGGTGCGATTATTCGCAAATGGAAGAAACACAAAAGAACTGTCAATCTCCCTCGGCCTGAGGCTCCATGCAAGATCTCACCTCGTGGAGTTGCAATGATCATGAGAACGTGAGGATTCAGTCCAGAACTACACGGGAGGATCTTGTCAATGATCTCAAGGCAGCTGGGACCATAGTCACCAAGAAAACAAATGGTAACACACTACGCCGTGAAGGACTGAAATCCTGCAGCGCCCGCAAGGTCCCCCTGCTCAAGAAAGCACATATACAGGGCCGTCTGAAGTTTGCCAATGAACATCTGAATGATTCAGAGGAGAACTGGGTGAAAGTGTTGTGGTCAGATGAGACCAAAATCGTGCTCTTTGGCATCAACTCAACTCGCCGTGTTTGGAGGAGGAGGAATGCTGCCTATGATCCCAAGAACACCATCCCCACCGTCAAACATGGAGGTGGAAACATTATGCTTTGGGGGTGTTTTTCTGCTAAGGGGACAGGACATCTTCACCGCATCAAAGGGACGATGGACGGGGCCATGTACCGTCAAATCTTGGGTGAGAACCTCCTTCCCTCAGCCAGGGCAATGAAAATGGGTCGTGGATGGGTATTCCAGCATGACAATGACCCAAAACATACGGCCAAGGCAACAAAGGAGTGGCTCAAGAAGAAGCACAATAAGGTCCTGGAGTGGCCTAGCCAGTCTCCAGACCTTAATCCCATAGAAAATCTGCGGAGGGAGCTGAAGGTTCGAGTTTCCAAACGTCAGCCTCGAAACCTTAATGACTTGGAGAAGATCTGCAAAGAGGAGTGGAACAAAATCCCTCCTGAGATGTGTGCAAACCTGGTGGCCAACTACAAGAAACGTCTGACCTCTGTGATTGCCAACAAGGGTTTTGCCACCAAGTACTAAGTCATGTTTTGCAGAGGGGTCAAATACCTATTTCCCTCATTAAAATGCAAATCAATTTATAACATTTTTGACATGCGTTTTTCTGGATTTTTGTTGTTGTTATTCTGTCTCTCACTGTTCAAATAAACCTACCATTAAAAATATAGACTGATCATGTCTTTGTCAGTGGGCAAACGTACAAAATCAGCAGGGGATCAAATACTTTTTTACCTCACTGTAGGCACTCCCTTTCTCTGTTGTTATTACCCTTTGCCCCAAGTCAATATATCCTGTCCAACAATCATGCTATCCTAAACATCAGTAATCTCCTTTGACATAATGGAATGTAGACTTTCTGTCTCCTAACCACTTATCTAGTAACTCTAACCTGTTCCCCACGATACTATGACATTACATAATTACACCATAAAAACATAATATCAGTAATGCTGCGGAAATTAGCATGAAAGCATTATCCAAATCCATCAGATGTAGTGATCACAATATGGTAGCCATATCTAGGAAAACAGAAGTTCCAAAGGCTGGGCCTAATATAGTTTATAAGAGGTCATACAATACGTTTTGTAGTTATTCCTATGTTGTTGATGTAAATAATATTTGTTGGTCTGTGGTGTGTAATGAGAAGCAACCAGACGCTGCACTTATGAAATTGCTTATACCAGTTACTAATAAGCATGCACCCTTTAAGAAAATGACTGTAAAAACGGTTAAATCCCCGTGGATTAATGAGGAATTTAAAAATATTATGGTTGAGAGGGATGAGGCAAAATAAATGGCAAAGAAGTCTGGCTGCACAACCGATTGTCAAACGTACTGCAAATTGAGAAATCATGTGACTAAATTGAATAAAAAGAACAAGAAACTACACTATGAAACAAAGATAAATTACAGTGCCTTGCAAAAGTATTCATCCCCCTTGGCATTTTTCCTATTTTGTTGCATTACAACCTGTAATTTTTAATGGATTTTTATTTGGATTTCATGTAATGGACATACACAAAATAATCAAAATTGGTGAGGTGAAATGAAAAAAAATAACTTGTTTAAAAAAAAATGCAAAAAAATAGATAACGGAAAAGTAGTGTGTGTATATGTATTCACCCCCTTTGCTATGAAGCCCATAACATAAGATCTGGTGCAACCAATTACCTTCAGAAGTCACATAATTAGTTAAATAAAGTCCACCTGTGTGCAAACTATGTGTCACATGATCTCAGTATATATACACCTGTTCTGAAAGGCCCCAGAGTCTGCAAAACCACTAAGCAAGGGGCATCACCAAGCAAGCGGCACCATGAAGACCAAGGAGCTCTCCAAACAGGTCAGGGACAAAGTTGTGGAGAAGTACAGATCAGGGTTGGGTTATAAAAAAATATCAGAAACTTTGAACATCCCACGGAGCACCATTAAATCCATTATTAAAAAATTGAAAGAATATGGCACCACAACAAACATGCCAAGAGAGGGCCGCCCCTAATGGGGGTCCATAATAAATACAAAATACAAATACTACAGCAATGTCCATCCAGAACAACGAGGAGACCGTATTTCCAGTTTAAGGGGGTTTAATGATAATCCACACACACACACACACATACATCCAAGACCACTCTGAGTCTGATTTGTGACTGACAATGATTGTGGTTCTGAAAATAAATAATAAATACACTTCGGCTGTAGCACTGATATGCATGACATGAAAGTACAAGCTAGCATACAACATTGTAATAAGGCCTTGCATAAATGAACTAGTAAAAAGGCTCCATAAGCTAGAGGTCTTGTACATAAACAAATGTATAGCAAATACAGCAATGTAGAAATGTCTACAGAATATAACCAGAATATAACCCAGATTATAAACTGGGTGGTTCGAGCCCTGAAGGCTGATTGGCTGACAGACGTGGTATATCAGACCATATGCCACGGGTATGACAAAACATTTATTTTTACTGCTCTAAGTACATTGGTAACCAATTTATAATAGCAATAAGGCACCTCCGGGGTTTGTGATATATGACGAATATACCACATCTAAGGGCTGTATCCAGGCGTTGCGTTGTGCTTAAGAACAGCCATTAGCCGTGATATATTGGCCATATACCACACCCCCTCGTGCATTATTGCTTAATTAAATATAGCATGAGCGATATACACAAATAATATAGCATAGCACCATGCATGAGAAATGCTAACAAATGGGTACTCGCTAGGATGCATTCTAAGTCCTAATACATTCTGAATACAAATGTTAATGCTAGAGCTAACGCTAGCGAGACCGCAAGCTATCTAACAACCTCAATACAAACGGTAGTTATAACAATAGGCAATCTTGAGCTCCGAAAACAACAAGACGTAAACATCTTAAGGCACTTTTAGATGCACGCACAATAAAATATCAGACAGCAAAGGTATTGTGACCGTAGGAGAAAGAGTAGTAGGAGGGAAACCATGAAATGCTGTCAGGATGGTGAAAGTACGTTTCTGACTGAAAGCACGTTTCTGCCCTGCTTGTGCTACATTGAAAGTCCCGTGAATACTAACTACTGATAGGCTAACATAATACTGACTGGCGTGACCTTGACCGATAAGAACTAAAGAAGTTTGGGTCTTGTGAATAGGAGGCTGAACTGCCTATGTAGAAAGCACTAAATAGCTGACTGAAGCTGGCCGTTTTTACAATGGCTGTCTCAGTCACCAGATATCAACCTAATTGGACACTTATGGGAGATTCTGGAGCGGCGCCTGAGACAGCGTTTTCCACCACCATCAATAAAACACCAAATGATGGAATTTCTCGTGGAAGAATGGTGTTGCGTCCCTCCAATAGAGTTTCAGACACTTGTAGAATCTATGCCAAGGTGCATTGAAGCTGTTCTGGCTCATGGTGGCCCAACGTCCTATTAAGACACTTCATGTTGGTGTTCCTTTATTTTGGCAGTTACCTGTATGTGTATAGGCAATAGGCCTAGGCCACGTTCAGTCGACAGACGTGAAACGTTGCAGATAGAAACGTCATAAATAGAGCTGACGTGATTCCTGGCTACAGGTCATAAATGTTTGTTCTACATAACATCTATCTGAGTGTTCCACAACATTGTATCCTGACCTGGTATGGGATGGCATACTGACATGATGTCTTCTATGGTTCCCCAGACCCCAGAGACTCTGCCTGGCCTTACCAAAGCAAAGCAGCCCTACAGGGAGGGCCACGAGTGGCTGAAGGGCCAGCAGATCGGCTTGGGGGCCTTCTCCTCCTGCTACCAGGCCCAGGACGTGGGCACTGGCACCCTGCTGGCAGTCAAACAGGTGAGAAGAGGAGACACACACAAGGCAATCAGAGATCCTATCCTAGGGCTGATTTTCCTATGCTGAATTCCAAACAACCCCTATTCACTCCTGTTGATATGATAGAAATTGATAAATTCATCCTAGCCGTTCAGAGGGCAAGGAGGAGCTGTTACCATATTGTCTAAACCTATTACATTATTTCGGATCTGCAGGAGTGTCTAGGATTGGGGGCTAGGTCTTGTTTCTAAGTGGGGCCTATGGGTCCCTTTTGTCACCCAGGTTGTGGCTTGTGTCCCCTGGTGCAGAAACACTGGGGATTCCAATGTCGGAGTTGATTCAATTTTAACTAGTGACATCAAACTGAGATGTAGCCCTTAAAAAGAATGTCCAGCTCTCTCATCCCCTAATAACCATGAGTGTGTGTGTCCTCTCCATCTAGGTGACGTATGTGAGGAACACGTCGTCGGAGCAGGAGGAGGTGGTGGAGGCTCTGAGGGAGGAGATCCGGATGATGGCCCACCTCAACCACCCCAACATCATCCGCATGCTGGGGGCCACCTGCGAGAAGAGCAACTACAACCTGATGGTGGAGTGGATGGCAGGTAAGGGCCTTTGATGATGACACATCCAACGTTGAAAAAACGTTTCCTGCTTTCATCCTTTGTTCAGTTCAAAACAATCCAGTTTGATTTAGTTCATTTAAAAAAATAGATATAATTTTTGTTTCCTGCATTTTAATCTTTGTGACATGATTATTCATTAAAAAATTTTTTACTTTTCAAAATTGATAGTATTAATTGAACTTTTGTTACTAATGAGTGAACTACCAAGTCATGGGATGAATATGTATCAGCAGCAATAACTTAATGTATCTAATTAAGAAATGCCAGAAGTTGAACTTCATAGTAGGAATTGTAACGTTTGACCCTATCCTACTATGAAGCATTGTCCTCCCTCCTATAACAATCACACTTGTTGCTCCCTTAGAAATAGAATGACTAGATTATAGTCATTCTATTTCTATGGTTGATCCTCTCTCTGTTGTGTACAGGTGGGAGTGTGTCCCATCTTCTGAACAAGTACGGGGCCTTCAAGGAGGCTGTGATCATCAACTACACGGAGCAGCTGCTCCGAGGCCTGGCCTACCTCCATGAGAACCAGATCATCCACAGAGACATCAAAGGTGAGTGCACACACACGCACATGCACACGCAAACACACACACACACACACACACACACACACACACACACACACACACACACACACACACACACACACACACACAAATGACCTCCAGCACACAGGAAATCCCTGCTGCTATTGTGCTGCCTGTCTCAGGGCTGAAGGAGGGGGGATGGTGAGCCCCTATGTGCTAGACCGAGGACACACACACACTCATTCATGTGTTCCACCTTTTAGCTTTGGGGTGGAACTTTAGGGACTGTGGGGGCTTACTATAATAAGGGCTTGGGATTTTTACTGGTCAGGACAGGTCAGGAAGAACACACTCACACTTTCTTATACTCACACACCTCACCTATCTCTCCTGTTATGGCATTCAATAACTACCCTTCCCCCACTCCACTCTATCTCTCTCCCCCAGGTGCCAACCTGCTGATTGACAGCACAGGTCAGAGGCTGCGGATAGCCGACTTCGGGGCTGCCGCCAGGCTGGCCTCTAAGGGCACTGGAGCAGGGGAGTTCCAAGGCCAACTCCTGGGAACCATCGCCTTCATGGCCCCCGAGGTACATATGGATGAGAGAGAGAGACTAAATCTGTGTCAGAATTAGCGTTCTCTTCCCAGGCCTTTATAGTGCACTACTTTTGACCAGAGCCATAGAGCATTTCAGACACACACACACTGTGTACAAGTGATGGCTGGCATGAAGCTTGCGGGCATAAAGCAAGTAAATTCTGCCACTTAAACCAATGCCCTAAGATCAAAACCCCTCAATCTTCTGTATCCTGTTTGTGGAGAGGCTCTGAAAGAGAAAGTAGAGACAGCGGCAGAAGCAGTAGCCTTCTGTGGGGGCTGTTTTATTTTGAAGAGGGCCCTGAGGATGCTGATAATGAACTGGGCTACTGTGCTGTGGTAGGCCTGAGCAGCTGAACTCCCTCCTAATTAAACAAAGTTTTGGGAGCCACAGTGATAACAAGGCATTAAGGGTCCAGACTGGGGGCCCGCTCTCAATAGGGATTACAATTTTCTTTCATTTGGGAGTTACTGAGAAATCTAAATCCACTTTAGTTCAGCGGATACGTGACTCTGAATGGCCTGCATAATGGCGGCTGGGTTTCGCCGTTTAAGAAAAGCTTTGTCGGAAGCCATTGACATTTAAATATCCTACCCCAAACGTAAGAAAGCAATATTTCGCCTCAGAATTAATTGAAGCCATAGTCATGTGATAAAGAATGAAGAAAGAGTGCAACTAAATACAGACGCAACAAAACTTAATGGGAGGCTCCGTGATACATTTAACTCGTTGGCCGAGTCACATCCTTTGGTTTGACGTTATGTGTCCATCCACCAAAAATAAGTCTGTTGTGCAACTATGCCACTCCTCAACAACAAAACCCAGACAAGTGCTGTAAAAAAATGGCTTGCCATTTCAGTCCGTTCTGCTGCTATTTGCACATTAAAGACTATGAATGGATTAGAGTTAAGTGTGCTTGTGTAGTGGGTGCGTGCATTAAATACTTAAATTCAATAAACATCATGTATTTGTCCATATGTTGATACCTTCTGTGTATGGTTGACTCTGTAGGTGCTACGTGGGCAGCAGTACGGCCGGAGCTGTGACGTGTGGAGTGTGGGCTGTGCCATCATCGAGATGTCGTGTGCCAAGCCCCCCTGGAACGCTGAGAAACATTCCAACCATCTGGCCCTCATATTCAAGGTACCGTCAATACAAGTAGTGGGGTCCTGTATGGCTCAGTTGGTAGAGCAATGCGCTTGAAATGTCAGGGTTGTGAGTTTGATCCCTGGTGCCACTCAATGTGAAAAATGTATGCACGCATGACCATAAGTCTCTTTGAATAAAAGCGTCTGCTAAAGGGCATATATTATTATTATTATTATTATTATTATTATTATTAGTTAGGATTTTAAGGAAACCATGTCCATTCAGTTAGATATGTGATCAATATGTCTTCAGGACCAGAAATATCCTAGAAATGTTATTGTTGCTATTTAGCATTATCATGGACTATGCAACCCACAAAGATGGAGTTGGCACTCTCTGCTTGTAAGGCTTGAACTGAACAAATTCACAGGATATACTGCCACAACATTACTTTATATCGATTGATGTACACACATACAGCTTAAAAAGCACACATATAGCTGTAAAGACTCACGTATGGTTGTAAAAGACATACAGAAAGTATTCAGACCCCTTGACTTTTTCCACATTTTGTTAGGTTATAGCCTTATTCTAAAATTGATTAAATTGTTTATTTTCCCCCTCATCAATCTCCACACAATACCCCATAATGACAAAGCAAAAACAGCTTTTTATAAATTTTTGATAATTTATTACAAATAAAAAACTGAAATATTACGTTTACGTAAGTATTCAGACCCTTTAATCAGTACTTTGTTGAAGCACCTTTGGCAGTGATTACAGCCTCGAGTCTTCTTGGGTATGACGCTACAAGCTTGGCACGCCTGTATTTGGGGAGTTTCTCCCATTCTTCTCTAAAGATCCTCTCAAGCTCTGTCAGGTTGGATGGGGAGCATTCCTGCACAGCTATTTTCATGTCTCTCCAGAGATGTTCGATTGGGTTCAAGTCCAGGCTCTGACTGGGCCACTCAAGGACATTCAGAAACTTGTCACAAAGCCACTCCTGCGTTGTCTTGGCTGTGTGCTTAGGGTCGTTGTCCTGTTGGAAGGTGAACCTTCGGCCCAGTCTGAGGTCCTGAGCGCTCTGGAGCAGGTTTTCATCAAGAATCTCTCTGTACTTTGCTCCATTCATCTTTGCTTCGATCCTGACTAGTCTCCCAGTCCCTGCCGCTGATAAACATCCCCACAGCATGATTCTGCCACCACCATGCTTCACCGTAGGGATGGTGCCAGGTTTCCTCAAACAATCCTGTCTCGGAGCTCTACGGACAATTCCTTCAACCTCATGGCTTGGTCTTTGCTCTGACATGCACTGTCAACTGTTAGACCTTATATAGACAGGTGTGTGCCTTTCCAAATCATGTCCAATCAATTGAATTTACCACAGGTGGACTCCAATCAAGTTTTAGAAACATCTCAAGGATGATCAATGGAAACAAGATGCACCTGAGCTCAATTTCGAGTCTCATAGCAAAGGGTCTGAATACTTATGTAAATAATGTATTTCTGTTTTTTATATGTAATACATTTGCAAAAATTTCCTAAAACCTGTTTTCACTTTGTCATTATGGGGTATTGTGTGTAGATTGCTGAGGATCTTTTTTTATTTAATCCATTTTAGAATAAGGCTGTAATGTAACAACATGTGGAAAAAGTAAAGGGCTCTGAATACTTTCTGAAAGCACTGTACGTATTCACACCCCTAAGTCAATACTTTGTAGATGCACCTTTGTGTCACGATCGTCGTATGGAGTAGACCAATGCGCAGCGTTAGTTGCGAACATACTTCTTTATTGAATGAATGCACGAACAAAACAAGAAACGATACGTGACGTCCTCGGTACAACACAACCGACACGGCAACAAACCAAAACGGAAACACCCAACAGGAACAAGATCCCACAAACACAAAGGGAAAACAGACAGTTTAAATATGGCTCCCAATCAGAGACAACCAGCCACAGCTGACACTCGTTGCCTCTGATTGGGAGCCACTCTGGCCAACATAGAAACACAACAACCAGAACTCCCGACATAGAAATACAACACATAGAATGACCACACCCTGGCTCAACATATAGAGTCCCAGAGCCCGGGTGTGACACTTTGGCAGCGATTACTGCTGTGAATATTTCTGGAATAGTCTCTAAGAGCTTTCCACACCTGGATTGTGCAACATTTGCCCATTATTATTTTAAAAAATTGTCAAGCTCTGTCAAATTGGTTGTTTATCATTGCTAAATTGGTTGTTTATCATTGCTAGACAACAACTCGGCCACTCAGGAACATTCACTGTCTTCTTGGTAAGCAACTCCAGTGTAGATTTGGCCTTGTGTTTTAGGTTATTCTCCTGCTGAAAGGTGAATGTATCTCCCAGTTTCTGGTGGAAAGCAGACTGAACCAGGTTTTCCTCTAGGATTTTGCCTCCATTCCATACATTTTTTTATCCCCAGTCCTTAACAATTACATGCATACCCATAACATCATGCTGCCGCCACTATGCTTGAAAATATGGAGCGTGGTACTCAGTAATGTGTTGTATTGGATTTGCCCCAAATGTAACACTTTGTATTCAGGACAAAAATTTAATTGCTTTGGCACATTTTTTGTAGTATTACTTTAGTGCCTTGTTGCAAACAGGATGCATGTTTTGGAATATTTGTATTCTGTACAGGCTTCCTTCCATTTCACTCTATCGATTAGGTTAGTATTGTGGAGTTACTGCAATGTTGTTGATCCATCCTCAGTTTTCTTCTATCACAGCCATTCAACTCTGTAACTGTTTTAACATCACCTTTGGCCTCATGGTGAAATCCCAGAGCGGTTTTCTTCCTCTCCAGCAACTGAGTTGGGAAGGACGCCTGTATCTTTGTAGTGACTGGGTGTATTGATACACCATCCAAAGTGTAATTAACTTCAGCATGCTCAAAGGGATATTGAATGTCTGCTTTTTTTATTTTTACCGATCTACCAATAGGTGCCCTTATTTGCGAGGCATTGGAAAACCTCCCTGGTTTTTGTGGTTGAATCTGTTTTAAAATGTACTGCTCGACTGAGAGACCTTACAGATAATTGTATGTGTGGGGTACAGAAATGAGGTAGTCATTCAAAAATCATGTTAAACACTATTATTGCACACAGAGTCCATGCAACTTATTATGTGAATTGTTAAGCACATTTTTACTCCTGAATTTATTTAGGCTTGCCATAACAAAGGGGTTGAATACTTATTAACCCAAGACATTTCAGCTTTTCATTTGTAATGATTTTGTAAAAATTTCGAAAAACATAATTCCACTTTGACATAATGGGGTATTGTGTGTAGGCCAGTGAAAAAAAACTCCATTTAATCCATTTGAAATTCAGGCTGTAACACTACAACATGTGGAAAAGTTAAGGGGTGTGAATCATTTCTGAAGGCGCTGTAGCTGAAAAGACACATACAGTGGGGTCCGAAATTATTGACACCCTAGATAAAGATGAGGAAAAGTGACTGTATAAAATCAATAATTCAAATACTGAGCTATGTTGTATGCTACATTTTTTAAATAAATTATATTATTTCATACTAATACAATTGCTAAGAGAAAGAGATTGTTTTAACAAGTAATATTAGTTTTTTCTCAAAAAGCTATGGGTCAAGATTATTGACACCCCTGTTTTCAATACCTTCAATACCTCACCTGGCGAGGATAACGGCACTGAGCCTTTTTCATATAATTTATGAGATTTGAGAACACATTGTGAGTGATTTTAGAACATTCCTCTATGCAGAATCTTTCCAGATCCTTGATATCCTTCGTCTGCGCTTATGGTCTGCCCTCTTCAATTCAAACCACAGGTTTTCAATAACCTGGTTTCCATCCAACCATTTTATGCGAGTAAAGTACATTTTGGATTTTAAAAAGTCATGACAAGCTTGATGGAATCAGCAAATTTTTCGGTAAACTTTCCACATATTGACAACAACAAAGAATGCTGGACAAGGTGGGAACTTTTTTATGCGAGAAATGGCGGTAGAAACACTTTAATGCTCAAATACTGATATAACAACCATCATATCGAAGTAAATTCGAGTCACGCAATAATATTTTCTGGTCCTCCCACCATGACTTTGGAAAGCATGCAGTTTATTAGGCTGCAGATTAAATAAGTTATGATGAACTTCACAGGGTAATGAGCTTCACGCTCCTTTCCAATAAATATCAAGGGTCTTATTCTGGTGACATGATGATCGATTCTTGGCTGCAGTATGACAAATAAAAATAATCTTGCTCTTTTGTCCATAATAATCTAATCTTGTATATAATATATAATATAATAATAATATAATATGCCATTTAGCAGACGCTTTTATCCAAAGCGACTTACAGTCATGTGTGCATACATTTTTACGTATGGGTGGTCCCGGGGATCGAACCCACTACCCTGGCGTTACAAGCGCCATGCTCTACCAATTGAGCTACAGAGGACCACAGGTAGCCTACCCGCACTGTATCTGCGAGCTGTTGGCTAGAGCGCACGTGCCAAGACCAGAGTGGGCACATTCGCTATATAACAGTACAGTTGAAAATGCAATGAAAACCTATTTAACTTGTATTTTTTATGGGAATTTTACAGCAAGTGCGTGATGCACAGCGCACAGCCTTTTATCTGCAACAAGTCAATTTGATGGAAACATCTCTGGTGGGAAAATGTGCATATTATTTTTATGCATTTTTTTAAATATTCGCATGAAAATCTGTTGCCAATTGGATGGAAACCTAGCTAATGGTGTTCAAGTCCGGAGACAGATGGCCATTACAAAATGTAGATTTTGTGGTCAATTAACCATTTCTTTGTGTATCTTTCTTTCGACACAAAACCCACCACTGGTGTGTGTGGCCAAAGAACTCTATTTTCATGCCATCCCAAAAAAGTTAATGCCTGGAGTTTTCTAAATGGCTTTGGCACTTAGACTGGGACCGGTACTATGATCAGATGACATGAAAATAGAGCACTTTGGCCTCTGGTCTGATGAAACAAAAATAAAACTGTTTGGCCATAATGACCATCGTTATGTTTGGAGGAAAAAGGGGGCTGCTTTCAAGCCGAAGAACACCATCCCAACCGTGAAGGACGGGGGTGGCAGCATCATGCTGTGGGGGTGCTTTGCTGCAGGAGGGACTGGTGCACTTCACAAAATAGATGGCATCATGAGGAAGGAAAATTATGTGGATATATTGAAGCAACATCTCAAGACATCAGTCAGGAAGGTAAAGCTTGGTCGCAAATGGGTCTTCCAAATGGACAATGAACCCAAGCATACTTCCAAAGTTGTGGCAAAATGGCTTAAGGACAACAAAGTCAAGGTATTGGAGTGGCCATCACAAAGCCCTGACCTCAATCCTATAGAAAATGTGTGGGCAGAACTGAAAAAGCGTGTGCGAGTAAGGAGGCCTACAAACCTGACTCAGTTACACCAGCTCTGTCAGGAGGAATGGCCCAAAATTCACCCAACGTATTGTGGGAAGCTTGTGGAAGGCTTCCCGAAATGTTTGACCCAAGTTAAACAATTTAAAGGCAATGCTAACAAATACTAATTGAGGGTATGTAAACTTCTGATCCACAAAAAAAAATCATTCTCTCTACTATTATTCTGACATTTCACATTCTTAAAATAAAGTGGTGATACTAACTGACCTAAGACAGGGAATTTTTACTAGGAATAAATGTCAGGAATTGTGAAAAACTGAGTTTAAATGTATTTGGCTAAGGTGTATGTAAACTTCCGACTTCAACTGTATGGAATAAGGTACTCTGGTCAGATGAGACAAAAATTGAGCTTTTTGGCCATCAAGGAAAACGCTATGTCTTGCGCAAACCCAACACCTCTCATCACCCGAGAACACCATCCCCACAGTGAAGCATGGTGGTGGCAGCATCATGCTGTGGGGATGTTTTTAATTGGCAGGGACTGGGAAACTGGTCAGAATTGAAAGAATGATGGATGGCGCTAAATACAGGGAAATTCTTGAGGGAAACCTGTTTCAGTCTTCCAGAGATTTGAGTGGGACGGAGGTTCACCTTCCAGCAGGACAATGACCCTAAGCATACTGCTAAAGCAACACTCGAGTGATTTAAGGGGAAACATTTAAATGTCTTGGAATGGCCTAGTCAAAGCCCAGACCTCAATCCAATTGAGAATATGTGGTATGACTTAAAGATTGCTGTACACCAGCGGAACCCATCCAACTTGAAGGAGCTGGAGCAGTTCTGCATTGAAGAATGGGCATAAATCCCAGTGGCTAGATGTGCCAAGCTTATAGAGACATACCCCAAGAGACTTGCAGCTGTAATTGCTGCAAAAGGTGGCTCTACAAAGTATTGACTTTGGGGGAGTGAATAGTTATGCACACTCAAGTTTTCTGTTTTTTTGTCTTATTTCTTGTTTGTTTCACAATAAAAAATATTTTGCATCTTCAAAGTGGTAGGCATGTTGTGTAAATCAAATGATACAAACCCCCCAAAAATCTATTTTAATTCCAGGTTGTAAGGCAACAAAATAGGAAAATTGCCAAGTGGGGTGAATACTTTCGCAAGTCACTGTATATAGCTGAAAAAGCACCCTATTGGCCTTCCTCTTTCATTCAAAGACCTTGTGGTTGAAAGGTTGTTTCTATAGTATCATAACTTCACCCTCACCTCCTCTCTCCCTCTCCCCCAGATTGCGAGTGCCACCTGTGCACCCTCCATCCCTCCCCAGCTGACCCCGGGCCTGAGGGACGTCACCCTGCGCTGCTTGGAGCTGCAGCCCATGGACCGCCCCCCGTCAAGGGAACTCCTCAAGCACCCCGTCTTCCGTCTCAACTGGTAGCCCCCAACATCCTCCCCCATTCCCCTACCCTCCCAATCCCAAAGCGTCCGCATGGAAATACTACTGAAGGCCCAGCCAGCCTACCTTCTCTTCTCTCCTCATCTAAACGCTGCCAATCAGACCACCCTCCCTAACCGGTCCCCTTACTGCCTTCCTTGCACCCCAGACCCTCCCCAGTCATGAGTTGAGGGCCTGGGATGGACAGTAGTATCTGGACTCTCCTCTCTCCCTCCCTTCTACTATGGCCTCAAACTGCTGTACCATAGCACAAAAGCAAGTCGCAAAAGTTCAACTACGAAAAGGGTGCATTCTTAGTCGGAGGACCATGTTGGTATACTGTAGTCTGTATTGCTCTTCAAGGCTTTCTTCTGGTAATGAAATGGTTCCTTAAGCACTTTGGTAGCCATTTTGCAGCGCCTCAAAGGTTTCGAGAAGTTATTCCCATTTTAACCCGTGAGTCAAAAATAAGTCCTTAGAACCACAAACGGAAGACGATGGAGTAAAGATGGCTTTTATCACTTATGTTGTATCGTCTGGTCATAAGTCTCAGACTCAGTTTTTGTTTTTAGAGTATCCTATGTGTAGAAGAAAGGCGTAATGGAGCGGTTTAATCGGTTGATTTTGTGCATAACTGCGTTACTACAAAGATGCCTTTAAAATGTGCATTTTACTGTTGGGCCATGAAGCTTAGTCGAATAATCATGAAGATCACTTAAGTGTTTCAGGGATTGGTGACATATCTAACAGAAACTTTGCTAGTTTGGCTAGCTTAACACTGAATGTGAATTCTTATGATGCTGGTATTTGTCTCAAATGTTTTTTGGTTTTTAAGATTTTGTTTTTAAGACATGAAAAGACATGTATATATATATATATATATATATATATATATAACAGTGCATTCGGAAAGTATTCAGACCCCTTGACTTTTTCCACATTTTGTTACGTTACAGCCTTATTCTAAAATTGATTAAATAAACATTTTCCTCATCAATCTACACACAATACCCCATAATGACCAAGTGAAAATAGGTTTTTAGACATTTTTGCAAATGTATTACAAATAAAAAACGGAAATACCTTATTTACATAAGTATTGCTATGAGACTCGAAATTCAGATCAGGCGCATCCTGTTTCCATTGATCATCTTTGAGACGTTTCTACAACTTGATTGGAGTCCACCTGTGGTAAATTCAATTGATTGGACATGACTTGGAAAGGCACACACTTGTCTATTTAAGGTCCCACAGTTGACATTGCATGTCACAGCAAAAAAAAGAGAGAAAGACGAACGGAGCAAAGTAGAGAGATCCTTGATGAAAACCTGCTCCAGCGCGCTCAGGACTTCATGACTGGGGCGAAGGTTCACCTTCCAGCAGGACAACGACCCTAAGCACACAGCCAAGACAACACAGGAGTGGCTTCGGTACAAGTCTCTGAATGTCCTTGAGTGGCCCAGCCAGAGCTGGGACTTGAACCCAATTGAACATCTCTGGAGAGACCTGAAAATAGCTGTGCAGTGACACTCCCCATCCAACCTAATGAGAGGATCTGAAGAGAAAAATGGGAGATACTCCCCAAATACCCAAGAAGACTCAAGGCTGTAATCGCTGCCAAACATGCTTCAACAAAGTACTGAGTAAAGGGTCTGAATACTTACATAAATGTGATATTTCCGTTTTTTTTGTTGTAATAAATGTGCAAAAATATCTAAAAACCAGTTTTTGCTTTATCATTATGGGGTATTGTGTGTAGATTGATGAGGGGGAAAAAAACAATTTAATGAATTTTAGAATTAGGCTGTAACGTAACAGAATGTGGAAAAGGTGAAGGGGTCTGAATACTTTACCGAAAGCATTGTGTATATATATACACATACATTCAGTGTACACAACATTAAGAACACCTGCTCTTTCAATGACAAATTGACCAGGTGAATCCAGGTGAAAGCTATGATCTATTATTGATGTCACTTGTTAAATCCACTTCAATCAGTGTAGATGAAGGGCAGGAGACAGGTTAAAGAAGGTGACCCTAATGTTTGGTATACTCACTATATATATATATATATATATATATAAAAACAGATATGTTTCTTAGCTTTTTGGATGTTATTCTCTTTTCAAAGCTATCCTTAGAAATTGAGTCATCTGTTGAGTATGGAGGTAAGGTTTCCCAACAACATTTTGATGTTGGGCAATGGTGTTAAAAGAAAACACCCCGTCGGCCTCTTAACTTTTGCTGTTACGATTTAGCCGTGTGCATCACGCATATTTTTGTCTTTTTTAATAATTTCATGAACCTTCAAAACCTCTATTATATCATTTTGGTTCTGTTCCTTTGTAGAATGTCACACTCCAATTCATCTATTTCTGATCTGGGAACAATTTTTTAAAAATATGTTATAAAATCTGTGTGCATCTGAGGTTTTTCTAAGACTTGTACTTTCCATTGGGAATTTTCTATATGATGAATATAAATGCTGTACAATGTAGTTTTTTTTGGTGGATGGATATTTCTGAACTGAAGCTAGACTTTTCAGCTTATAAACTTTTTTTTCTCTTTTTTTTATTAGAATTCTCAAGCATGTTCCTAAATTGTGTTACTTGTATAAACTATAACTTTTTCAAGTGTTCTTGTTCTGGTTGTAATCAGTTAAAATAGTAAAATTATGATAATTAAGATGAAGAATGTTTCTAAATTCAACCTTTTTTAGAACTGGGAATATGCATTTAATTGCAATTTTTATATTTGAATCTCTAGCTTGAACGGCTGAAGAGTTTGAATCCCTTAATGGCAAGGGTTTGAGACAATTTCAAAAATTTTTTGCAGAAAATTTTATCTATTTAATACTAATCATATTTCTTTATGTGGAGTACAAGCTGATCAAGCTTGAAGACTTAAATGTAAATAAATGTGAAGTTTGGTAGCTAAAATTATTGTACTTGACTGTATTTTTATATCACACTATTTTCCATAAATATTAGTTTTTGTTCCAGCTTCTGGTTATTTTTCTTATCTTACTTTTCAATGTCTTTTTAAAAGCTTTAAAGTTATGCAGTCTTGTCTTTTATATATACTGGAAGAAAAATCAGTTTCTGTCAAATTCATAAAAGCTAATCAGTATTACTTCAATTTGTCATGTCTATAATTCTTATCAATCTCTCAATGCCTTCTGAATCCTCCTCTTATCCGCCTGTGTCTCAGCCAGCTTGCTGGTCTTTATGCATTGTATTTTCTTATTTTATGCTGATGTGATGTAATCTTATGTCCTTTTTTGGATCTGAGCTGGACTTAAATTTTTGTGTGAAATTGTATGCTGTTTCCTGTGCCACCTGGTGGTACTTTTTTATTTGTAAAGAACGTCTATTGCTGTTTTATTCCAGTCTCCACTACCTCAGACTCTCTCTTCTACCAAAGTTCACTTTCTCAATATATATAAATGTACAGTATATTATTTTTTGTTGACTATTTTGTTTTTTGGTTTCTCTTCTTCAAAAATGTCCAGGGCTTAAGGGCTAACTTATATTAGCACATTTTCGTGCAAATAAACTCATGAAATCTCTGGGTTATGAAAAACAAAAATTAAGCTGTATCCTGTAAGTTAAAATATATAAAGATATTTTAATTATTAAAATCTTTACCCCATTCGAAGCATTTTATAGCATAAATTTGAACTTATTTTGGTGTTTGTCTTTATAGTAAATAAACAAAAAATTGGGGAAAAAGTTAATTGTTCCTCCTGTCGTTTTGCCAATGTACAATATGTTACATTTATCAATACAGACAAGTATTATTCACTTGAATATGAATTACTGAAGCAGAGCCCGGAGTCTGGGGGTGGGGATCCCTGCATACACATTTATTCTCCCTCAATTCTGTTTCCCTGCTTCTGCTCCTATCCTGTCATAAAAATAATACAAAAGGCGTTAGGAATGTGGTTCTCTTTAAACAAAACAAACATATACTTCAGACAGAGTCCTTTTCAGCCAAACCTGGTCAACTGAGTTTCCGAGATGAGGGGGGAAAAAGATGCACAAACAGTAATTACAGTGCATTTGGAAAGTATTCAGACCCTTCACTTTTTCCACATTTTGTTACATTCCAGACTTATTCTAAAGTGGATTAAATTATTTATTTTTCCTCATCAATCTACACACAATACCCCATAATGAAAAAGTGAAAACAGGTTTTTTGTGTGGTTTTTTTTGGCTTCCGGACAAGTCTCTGAAAATCCTTGAGTGGCCCAGCCAGAGCCTGGACTTGAACCCGATCTAACATCTCTGGAGAGACCTGAAAATAGCTGTACTGTGACGCTCCCCATCCAACCTGACAGAGCTTGAGAGGATCTGCAGAGAAGAATGGGAATGTGCCAAGCTTGTAGCGTCATACCCAAGAAGACTTGAGGCTGTAATCGCTGCCAAAGGTGCTTCAACAAAGTACTGAGTAAATGGTCTGAATACTTATGAATGTAAATGTGATATTTCCGTGTTTTATTTGTAATAAATGTGCAAACATATCTAAAAACCTGTTTTTGCTTTGTCATTATAGGGTAGTGTGTGTAGATTGATGAGGGGAAAAAAACGATTTAATCAATTTTAGAATAAGGATGTAATGTAACAAAATGTGGAAAAAGTGAAGGGGTCTGAATACTTTCCGAATGCACTATATAATACACACAAGCAATCTAAGTTGGGTCAGTGTGAACATAAAAAAAAAATGTATGCACGCATGACTGTAAGTCGCTTTGGATAAAAGCGTCTGCTAAATGGCATATTACAATATATTACAAAATAATGACAAAGCAAAAATTGTTTTTTAGGAATGTTTGCTAATTTATTAAACAGAAAAAACTGAAATATTACATTTGCATAAGTATTCAGACCCTCTACTCAGTACTTTGTTGAAGCACCTTTGGCAGCGATTACAGCCTTGATTCTTCTTGAGTATGACGCTACAAGCTTGGCACACCTGAATTTGGGAATTTTCAATGGAAACCGGATGCACCTGAGCTCAATTTCAAGTCTCATAGCAAAGGGTCTGAATACTTATGTAAGTAAGGTATTTCTGTTTTTTATTTGTAACAAATTTGCAAAAATTGTAAAAATCTGTTTTCGCTTTGTCATTATGGAGAATTGTGTGTAGATTATTGAGGATATTTTCAAATGTAATCCATTTTAGAATAAGGCTGTAACGTAACAAAATGTGTATAAAGTCAAGGGGTCTGAATACTTTCCGAATGCACTGTATGTATTAACT